ATGTAGAGGTCATTCCTGATGCCTGAATAAAGTACATGAATTTTTTTAAGTTTCTGTTGCAAATAAAGAGGGTGACCTTCTAAGAGGAAAAATCTGCAGCCCCAATCAGATCTTTGCCTCACATCAGTCAAGCTTACAGCGGCATTTACATTTTTAATATTATCTGATTTATCAACAAAAGCAAGTCCAGGAAAGAGATTAAATATAGATTGTTTAGAATAAATTCCCAATAGTACCTGCATTCATAAGTAATGAAAATTACTATTCTAATCAGTAAACATTCATAATGTTGTACTATGTGCCAATGCAACAGGCAAAAAATAGGCAGCTTTTTGGCGTATATTTCAAGTAGGCACGAATACACAATATTTCTTGATTCTTACTTCACATTTGTGGGAACTATGATCGATAAACTAACTCTGACCAAGTAGGATAATGCTGTTATCTGCTAATAACAGGGAGCACGGCATTGATCCAGTCTACAACTTGTCACAATTATCTATGATTAGGGAAAAGAAAGGCAAACATACTTCAAGACATGCAGAAAAGTTCAAAAATACCAGAAAAGGGAAAAACTGGATTACCCTCAGTGATGTACACTAACTGCTCCACTTTGGAAAATTCTACTTCTATAACCTATAAATTAACTGAAATTGCTTGTTGGAGGTATGAATTGTCTTTTTAGTTTGCTTTCTGTACTGGATGAGGGAGAGCGTAGTATTTTAAAAACAAAATGCAGAAAGGCTAAATTTACATGTACCGGAATGGTAACTCAGACAATGCAGTACAGGACTACTGCCTCCCAAATCTTTCTCAAGCCACAAGTCCCAAATCTTGTAAATAAGATTTTAGCTTCATTATACAAGTGTCCTCTCATAGGTGACATAAGCTACACTACTTATAAATGAAAAAACTTTTCCCTTTTATCATCATCCAAACTCTATTTTCCCCCCGAAACAACACTTTTTGAATTGATTCAGGCTTCATTCTCACATTACTTTGTAGCCACAAGTCCCAAATCTTGTAAATAAGATTTTAGCTTCATTATACAAGTGTCCTCTCATAGGTGACATAAGCTATACTACTTATAAATGAAAAAACTTTTCCCTTTTATCATCATCCAAACTCTATTTTCCCCCCAAAACAACACATTACTTTGTAAATGTCAAGAGATTCTGTATTGTATCCACTCAATTACTTTGTCCATTCCCTCTGCCATCCCTACAAGTTTTTTTGTGTTTGTATTAAATAGCCTCAACTTTGCGGTAATTTCAAATTGCAAGCATGTTCATGTTAATGTTTTAATCTGTTCTAAAAATTGAATTTAAATTATGTGGTAAAGAATTCCAATGCTTTATAAATAAAACTATTTTTGTCATTACTGAACCAAAGTAATTTTTTGATCTTTGGAATATAGAAACACGAAGAATCAGCCCATTTTAATTTGTTTCATGTAGTTTCACCAACCTGGGGGCACACCAGAAGAGATGGTGGAGGATGTGACCCACCCGCTCCCTTTTGCAGTCTCAGCTGCCACCTCGATGGTGTAGGTGGTGAGAGACGAGAGCCCCGTGATCTTGTACTCCAGCGTTGTGTTGGGTAACGTGCGGGCCAGACGAGATTCATTCCTGCCATACACCTCCCAGGAGATCTGGTACCCTGAAACACAATTACACAGAAGTCAGGGGGTCATTGCAGTGGTGGGATCTGGTTTTTCTTCTCAAGCACAGTTACACAATAACCCAGAGACTGGCAAATTCCTGCATCTGCAAGATTTGCTTAGGGTCAATGGTGGTATGACTTGTTTCTTCCTCTACTCCATTGTGGTCATCTTTTATAAGCAGAAAAGAAAGTCAAAGTAAACACTAGCTAAAATACCCAAGTATTTTTCCAATATTGTTATTTCCAATAAGCAATTGATGTAGGTACCCCATGAGGTATCATCTGCCCATCAGATTACAGATGAGGGAGGACACGGAGTCTCAGCAGACTGTCTCTTTTTTCTATGACGATACAGTGCTTGCTATGAAATGGCTAGGAAACCTGGGGATAATATTGCAGAAGGGTGGACTTCCATTCTATGAACTCTATGAAGCAAATAGGAAGAAACACTGGAAAACAGAACATCTTCTCACCAGCTGGACTATCTAATTAAAAATCTATATGTGCTTAGTAGCGCTACTCCCTTTCCATGTTGAAGTAATCTTTGCTGCTGTGTATCTAGAAATACAAATCTGACAATAACAATCAGGCAGGAACATTGTGGGAATCTTCTAGGAATTGAAAAACCTCTACTCCCCACTGCTTGTTCCTCGCACAAATCCTTTATCAGGGTGAATCATTATCCTTTCTTTAAAAACCAGAGCGTAGCCAATGTATTGTCCAAAACTGCACTCACCCTGACTTCCATATTATTCTTCTATCATAACCAGGCTTTCCTTTTTATCACTCTTATAACCATTTGCCTTCCAAGAACTTTTGAAACTTTCTACTGTCTGATTTACTCAATTTTACCTCCAAATCTGCTTGTCCTCCTCCTGCCCAGTCCCACTTTATTCTCGTTTGAACCCATTTGAACCTCACTGTGCCAGTCCCCAGAAAGTGTGTCTGAAAAGTTTGCTTGATTGCAGCTTTCTTTGTGATTTGACTCGAGGGGGGAAAAAAATACACATAGTTCTTGAATGCCTGTGAAATGGAAGTGAGTGAAAAGGACTAACAGAAAGGAACCCCACTGAGTGAACCATGCATGAGGCAAGCAGGCTGGAGAAACTCCCTACTGGGTTCTTGTTCCCATCATCTAAGATGAGGAATTCAGACCAGTTGAAGGGCTTGAGGGTTTTTTTCCCCCTTTTTTTTAAAAAAAAAAACATGATAAGCTGATTAACCTATACAAATTGATGTAGCAAAATACCTTATGGTATTAATCAACAAGGAAACATCATCTCATGAACTAAAAGCACGGCGAGACAAATATTTCTGTGCGAGTTTGAGAGGTGTGAGATGTTATCCTTCCTCTGGTGCTAGCTGCCGTCGCTGACAGAGATTCACGTTAACGTAATTTTGCATGAAAATGGGCTCAGAGTGCTCACACAGTCACTATGTTTCGGGTGAGAGGGCAGTGATAAAGAGAGGTGACACTTCAGCAATTCCAGCTACACCGCAACCGCGTGTCTGACTATGCACTACCTAGGGGAAGGGGAAAAACTCCTGAATGCTCATCTGGAACCAGTTTTAAGTAAGTGTTTGAATTGGAATTAATTAAGTCAGTAATTTACCAATATCTCAGAGACACTGTGGCATTTGGTGCTCTCTGAAAAGGCCTGAGAATCATTTACGAATGACCAGAGTTTATGTAGCACAGGCAAGATTATAAACTCTATGAAGATTTTGACAAAATTTAAGGACTTTATTGCCTTTATTAATAGAGGGCAAACAGAAAGGTGGGGGATGACTGTCCACTCTATTTGATGTTCAGTGAAGAGGCACGAAGGAGTTGTAAATAGAACGACCATCACAAATCCCCCTTTCTTTCAAAAGCTGTGGGTGCTGTTTGCTCCAGGCAGGGCAATGTGGAAGAACGAGGAGGAGTCAGAGGAAGGTGCAGTTGTGCCTTTCCCCGCTTCCCAGCAGAGGACACGAAACCAGTAGCCGTGTCCCCAGCCAGCAAAACGTCCACGGGCAGCTATGGCTGGGTAAGGGCCATGCCGTGGCTCATCTGTCTGCCTGGGAGCTGCGGATGACCTGGCTACCCCTGCTTTGAACTCTACACATGGGCTGGCAGAGGGAATCAATGAGTATCACCTCAGAATAAAACAAAACAGGATGCTCAAAGCAATAAATAACCAGAAGATGATAAACCGGGGACTTTTAATGCTCCCTCTATCCATTGGTTGCTTACGAACAATAGAAAGTTTCATCTACCATGCACCAGGCAATCTTGAGTGACTGAGATATTTTCTCTCCCGCCTAGATAAGCTTTGGATGTACATCAAATGTTGGTGATTATTCTTTGAACATTTTATGTTTTCTCCCTTGTGATCACAGGAATGAGACCCAGCTTTCCCACCCAATTGGCACATAGTCTCTACGTATTTATTTTCTGAAAAAAAGTTTACCAGGAAAAATATCCTGAGTTCAGACACAAATTGAAGAAAAGGCAAAGAGGCAGCATTTACTGTTGGATATTTCAGTCGTGAATGTATAGTTAAATTCTAGTCATATAAAAAAAAACGCAAACAGAAAATACATACATACATACCAAGCAGACACAAAGTCAAGTGTAATCATGCATAACAAAAACAGATGAAAAAAATGCTGAAGGAAAGGAACAACATCCACCGTACCCCCAAGTAGCACTTCAACCACAATGACTGACAGATGGGCAGAACTTTAGGACATGTGGTTGGTAAAAATGCGCTCTCTGTTTTACAGACGTGATCTCTGCCAGAAATGTGCACGGGGGAGTCCAGCCGGTCTGGGCTGAGAGTGTTTCCTCTGGCTTTGGTGTAAATGCGAACAGGAAAGGTGCCACGGAGCCTTCCCGTATGCTTTGGCACTACACCCTCTCCACAAAACTCTAACGGAAACTAATGACCAGAGGAGTTTCAGAAATAATTTTCTGTTGATCTGGAGTAAATTCTCTACAAGAGAGCAGTACACCCAATCACAAACTGTCCGTCTACATCCAGATCCTCATAAATCAATGTTTACTGAGAGAGCAAGGAAGATACTGAAATTTACAGCAAGAGTAATGGGCAATTTCCCAGAGCAGGCTGGCTGCCGGGCACTACCCTCCGTGCTTTCCTCCTCCCAGCTCTGGTGCATGGAACAAGAAGGTCCAGTAAAGATATCAATGAGCAGAAATGATGAATATTTGCCTCTCTAAGCACTTGGATCTCCAAACGGCCCTCTACAAGCCTTTGAGGCACCCAGCACATGAACAATTTTGCTATTCTTTTCTTCAGTCCCAAATGCAATTTGCATCGTTAAGGAAGTTTCTCTTTCCTCATAAACTTTGCTGGGCATTTTTACACTGGTGTTTCTTCATGGACAACAGAGTTTCTTGAGTTAATTCTTTCTGAAACCATTTGCCCCAAATATAACATGGTCCATCACCGTGTTCCACCAGGTTTCAACCCATTCTGGGAGGCAGCAGCTTGTTTCTAGCAGAGCAATTCTGCAACACTAAGCACAGTGCTGCTAACATGCGCTTAACAAGGATGAGTATTACATCATCTTACGTAGATAGCTAGTCTTGGATTTAGGTACCTAAACGTAAGCACTCGGGCTTGAAGGCTTTGGCCATCTTCACTGAATCAATACTGCTCTGCTTTCAGAAGTCATTAGTCTCTGTTCTCAAATGACTTAAATCAATGCGTATTTCAGGAAGGTTACCATGTTATAAAGGCATAAAATGATCTGCATAAGGACTCCACATGCACTATAAACAGCATGGAAGGTGCATGTACAAATGGTGCATGCTACAGGTACACAGAGAAAACACAGACAAGTGCAAATCCTATCAAAATAATTAGACCTGTCAAAGTTAAAATGCTTAGGAGAGTAGGATTTTTTTCTTTTGACTCCTAAAATTTGTTTTGTTTTGACAAATTATAATACAATTTTTTTAAAAAAAAAAAATCATTAAACATTTCAATATCAATGCTCCCAAAACAAAATATTTTGATCCATGTGAAATGATCTTCTCCCTTCCCACGATTTTTAGCTCCAGTAATTTAAAATTTGGGAGCTTTCTTGCACTTTAAAACCTTGAAAGTCTTTGTTAAATGGAATGTCCATCCTGTGTAGCTGTGATAGTTTCCCATCTGAAAACAATATTGCCTCCGTTGATAAGAACTAGAGTTTTTCTCAACTATTTATAGCTTCCTTTTAGAAAAATAATGAAGTTGCTGATCTTGTATCTACAGTGGCATACAGTAAATAGATAAATAGCATGTCAAATGGCAAGCTCATCAATGAGAAACAAGAGGGTTCTGAACCCTTGTGATGGTTTATACAAAATTAAGTAATGAGACACAAATTCTGTCACGCAATCCACAGCCAGACCACTTGATCATAGATGAAGGATACTGCTGATTTCAGGCTTGGTCTTGATTGTAAATCTTAGCAACGCCTGTCCAGATTTTCCAGCTGTAAACTCCATGTAGGAACCCCCTACCTTCAGGGCAAAGGCCAAGCACTGTTTCACAAAATTTCAGAAATTTAGTAGCACAGGTGGAGGTTACAGAAGATTTAACAAGACCAGAAACTCCATAGGGAGCTGATTTCTAGTACAGGTTGCCTTTTCAGTGACCACAATCATGAGCTGCCAGTAATTGGACCCATACTTTCTATAACGTACCCTAGCTGACATTTCAATTACCCAAAACAGAGACCAGGAAACGAGTGTTCGCAGTAGCCAGTTCTCCCTAAATGCTCTATCATGCAAACATTTTTTCACTGCAATGATACATTCCACCCCACACTCGCTTAAAAAAACCCAAGGAGATAGCAGCTGATACTTGCCTGTAATGATGCCGTTTTTCTCTACAGGTTCTTGCCAGCTGACCTTGAGAGATGTGTCCAGTATCTCAGTGAAACTCAGGTGTCCCACTGCTCCTGGCTCTGGCAATCAGAAAAGGAAATCTGTTAACAGGCGAACCCCACTTACTTTTGATCTGATTCATGTGGCAAGGTTAGAGCTGAAGAAATAAAACACTGAGCCAGGGCCAAGGGAAGCCTGCTGGAAACATCAGCCAGAGCTGCAGGGGAGAGGGGAGAACGCAAGGTGTTATAGGAGGACTCTGGCTATCATCACATAAATTATTTTATCCAGTCATCATCCTAACTGTGCAGAGAACTAAAGCGAGTGGCAGCAGGAGACTTGCAGGCAACTTGTTCTCTGCCTCTCTTCTTGATCTAATCTAATTAGAACAATCAAGCTGGCAATCCTGGAAGTGATTGCATTTGCCGTTTTCTCTCAACGACGGTGTGCGGTGTTTACCTGTGTTGCTATGTGTAGCTTACCTGGCCTGAGGTCTGTAGCAACACCCACCAGCACCCCTCTCTGAAAAGAGCCTTTTGCCTATGCAAGGTCAAAGCAAGGACAGAGTCACCGAGCCACTGCTTGGATAGGTTCTCTCAAAACAACTCTAAAAACGTCCAACCTAATGGCAACTGTCTTCTGTAAAATGAATACAAGTGTGTGAAACTTTTAAAGGATTTTTATAATGTAGCTCAAGAGCTCTTAAAAATTTCAGCTCCCTAGTGTGCAATGAAAGAGCATAAAATGGAATGGCTGTCAAGAATATGCCATCCTCCCTCAATTTTGATCTTCAACGAAGACATCCTGACTGATTTTTGATCCAACTGCTGTTCTGTCTTCAATCGATGTACTAGAAAAAGGAGTTTTTGTTCACTTTACATTCACTGTGCTTCTGTCATTGGATCCCTGCCCGAGTATCCTCCAGCTCCACTGACATCAGTTGGCAATTTCTCGTCTGCAATTTCATATTTTGTTTCCTCTTCACTTTAGTCCAGTTTCTCATTCCCCTCCAGCTACGATAAAAAAAACCCAAAGCCTGCCAGTAGGTCAGCTACAACCACATTTGCAATTCTGCAATCCTAGTCAGGAAAATTTCCAAATCCATCCTGCGATATCTAGTAGTCAAAGCATTACAGAAAGAACTGCTGATCTGGTAGCGATCTCAGGGATACCCAACAAGAGTATAGCAATTATGCACTATTCAGGACCACGTATCTGCAGACATGCAAACCGCATACTCACAAAGCTTTACTCCAATTAGCTCCTGCAGTTGCAGTCCAATTTTAATGTCATGATGAAAAACAGGTGCAGGTTACTCCAAGCCAGGACACAATGCTTCTGACTGGATGTCAGATTTTATTTATTGTTCATCAGCAAACAGATCTGTTTGCACTATTCTTTTTCTAAAGGATTGCCTAACTTTGCTATACAGACAGAAAATTATCACCTGAGAACATGAATGACAGTCCTTTTGAATCTCTTTTCCCACCACATAAATCCTGAAGCAACTTCGAGTCAACGAGTTCTCTGCAAAGATGCATTATACTATCCTGCACTTAACTTCTCAGTCACCATGAAAACTCGAGGAAAGCAACTCCGAAGGATTAATAAAAAAAAAACAAAAAAAAAAAACCACAAACCAAAAATCCTGCTCTTCTCTACTGCTGAGGCTCCTTGGAGCACACAGCTGCAAACACTAAGAAATGTTCTAAATGTTTTACAAAATACAAGTCTGGCTTTCTCTTGTTTTATGTTTCATGATGGAATTTTCTTGTGTTTAAAATCGCATGTGATCTCAACGTTTCCCCTGAGAAACACTCCATGTACTGACTGTGGCCCATCTCCTACTTTGTGCAGTCTTTAAGGTTCATTTCTGCAGCCTTTCCTTCAGCAGAAATGTTAATAGGCTCTTTCCTCTTCCCAGCTGACTAATTTGCACAAAATCTTTGGAGTCTCATATCTTTGGTTTCTTACTCTTCTGTACTCACTGAAATTAGCCACAGGGTTCAAATGCCATTGGAGGGAGAAAGAGAGATGGACCTAAGACAGACGGTCGAATACATTTACAAACCATCATTGTCAAAATCTTCATTTCCTTAAGAAAACATACAAAAAAGTTAATTCTACACACAGTAAGCTAATGCATGTTTCTCTTTCCTCCATGCCTTTTGCTTCAACCCCAGATAAACAAGTATGAGTTCATACTAATGGTTCACATAGATTTCTGGTAGTTAAACTGCTACCTCTGTGATCTTCTAACAAGCAAAGGTTTAAGTCTACAACCTGCTCTTGGGGCACAGGTCTAGCATATGGAGGAGACTAACCACAAAAGGAAAATCCATGGAAAGTATTTCTTTTTTTTTTTTTCATGTTCTTTCAAGAGTATCTCATGAAAAACTGGATTAGCACTTCAAGCCTCATTTCTGTGAATGTTAATGACAATGAGATTTGTTTTTTTAGGGGAACACTGACTAACCTAAAAGATCCCTATTAAGGCAAAGTAATATTTTTGAAAACAATACCTTAATGGATGTATTAGACTTTTTTTTTCATTCTGATTTGGATCTGTAAATGTGCAGCAGTGTTCATGATGCTCCATGACAGAAACATACTGAAGCGCTGGCCAGAGCCAAGATCACTGTGGACACACAGTTGTGAGGGCCACTGCAATTTAGTTGTCATCTGCATCAGACACACGCTAGACTTGTTAGTCCCAAATATGTCTTGAGCAAAAACTTCCAAGAAGCCACAGAATTCAAAACATTTTCTGATGCAGGAAATAATTTATATGCTAAACTATCCAGCTTATTTTACTTCATCATGGCTCCAGCTTTGCAGAATAAAAGTTACTGCATTGTTATGATCCTGGTTCTTGCAATATAACATAGATATATTGCAAATAACACTTGCAATATAATATAGATAAAGACATTTTCAATATATTGAATAACAGAAGGAAACAATTGTAAATTAATCATTGAGCTCCACAGGAAGTTCCAGTGCTCAGGTCCTAAGAAGATCAATTCACATTTATTTGGATACCTGAACATGGAATTAAGAGCATAAGGGTTCGCAGACATAAACAATGTGTTGTGCGTTAGCTGAACCAGACTATGAAGTTTTCAGCTTCTGACCAATGTAGAAAAATTCATCCAGGTTTAGTTCATAATGAAAAAATATCAAATAGAATCCATTTGCCACAAGCTAAAAGAACACACACGGATGACTGGCTGAGCTCATCGTCTGATGCAAAGTAACTTGACAAGAGACTGCAAACTAATTGAGAACCTGAGGTCAAATTTTAAGCACCTAGATTTGAAAATTCTGGCTTTTATATCCAACAAAACAAAATCCGAGCACTGAGATTCTCTACCAGTGCTGACTACTCACTGTCTTCAAGAGTGCGCAGGAGCTGGGGTGTGCTTCGTGGTCCATCGCCAGGTGTGGTGAAACACAGGACCGACGTATAGTAAGTAGTGTATTTCTTCAGGTTGGTGATGAAGCCACTATGAACACCATGAAAATCTGGAGCAATGGTGACCATAGTCACAGTCTCCGGAGCATCCACTGGCCATGCCAGAAGCTAGAAAATTTAAACATAGATAAGCTCTCACTAGAAGTTGTGTCTATTTGGAATCAAAGTATGCTTGGCTGCCAAAACCATCTTAATCTGATTGTAAAAAAACCCAAGCAATGCTGTTAAACTACTGTCAGCTCTGACGCTGAACAGATGGATATAACACTGTTACTATGATAACTGGACGGATGAGTATAACACTCACTTAGTGATGGGGGATATACCGATACCATGGAGGTATTGCAATTCTCAACGTCTGCTACTGAACAATACCAATATTATTGTAAATTATTATTCGTATGACATGAGTTTTTTGCTTCTCTCTGGGCTGTTCTGACCAGTCTGCTGCTGAGAGTAAGCTGAAGGAAGAAAAGTACTTTCAGTGCGACTCCGAGATAAAATCTTTATCTTATTTTGGGGTTCCTTTAAAGATCCCACTGGCTGGGGAGGTTACTGGGATAATGAAGAGAGAAGCAGGGAGACACACACATCCTCCTTCCCCTCCCACAGCCTCCCCAGCATCCCATTGACCAGCCTTGCCTAACAGGCTATTACACTGTTCCATCGTTTGGGGATATCCACACTGTGAATGATTCAAGTGGTTCTGGAACTACAGAAAGAATTGAAAATGGTTGTAAAGATGATTACTACAATTTTCAACACCTGGGTCCCAAAAGTTAGACTCCTGAAGACATTTTCATGCATTTAAAATGGCATGCTTGTCAGATGTGCTCAGCTCTCCAGCTTTCATTCATCTCAGTCGGTCTTCTGGGCGATCAATATTTTTTAGAGTAGAGTACCTTATGTGTAAGTACCTAAATGAGGACTTAAAAATTCATTTTTGGCAAATGATTCTGAAATTTTAAAACAATTTTTGAAATCGCCTTAACAGTTTAGGAGTCTAAAGCTTTAAAGTGCTTATCAAACTTTTTTTTGGCCCAAAAATCCTTATCGTATGGCTTACATAAGCATGTCAGAATTCTAGGTCTTACTCAGTATCCGTGTAAATTGTGCTACTCGTATTGATTTCAGGTTCATAAACATGAATAGATGCCTGAAATCAATGAGCCATATTTGACACGTTTAGCCAATGTCTATAGTTTCTGATAATCAGAAAGCATAGTTAGAGGACTATAAGGAGTAATTTTGTTAGGAATATTTCATATTTGAAAAGGTGCACTTTACAACTTCTTGAAATGCAAATGAATTTCAAAGAAAAGATAAAAATTGAAAATGGTTGATGGGACGGTAAGTTTTATATTCTTTTCTAAATCACCTTTGTGGATTACAATTGGCATTTATAACTTTGGGGGACTGAACTTCTATTTTTTGAGTACATTTCACTGCTTATTCTTCAGGAAACATGTGCAGAAAATACAGGTGAACAATTCTGTCAAAGGAAAAAATGGGTTTAATCCTTAAGAAAAGCAAAGGTCTACCTTTGACTACTAGTAATTTATAAATCATACGAAAAACTATGCTACAGAAGTAACTGACAGAAAAGTTCTCACACAGTCTTCGTACTGCAATTCACAATCCCTATGAGAAACAGGAATGGTAAAGCTGTTGCAATCTACTGCAGTCAAAGAAATCCAAAGAAAGAGAAATTTTAGTTATTTTATACCATTCTTAAAGAAACTGAAACATAAATTAGAGGTAGCTATGCGATGAGACTAAGGATCTTCAGACTGAAACTCTGATTAAAACAAAAGATAAGAATCTGAAATATGACTTTTGCAAATCTGACTGAGCTCACCATGCTTGGACTTGCACCAGAAAATTATAGTGTATTGCAGTCCACTGAGCCCCAAAAGTGCTTTTATTCTTCAGAGTCTGAACAGAAGCCAAGTACTACTTCTATGTTGAGCTTTCAGGACATATTCCTGCAGCCCTGTTAGTCACCTAGTCTTGAGAGCTGGTTCTATCTCTGGGAAAAACAGATGTACACATCTGCATGTATGTAATACTTCAGCAGTGGGATTATGAAACCAGCGCTCTTCTTTATAAGAAATATATAGATCTGGGTGAAAATACTAAAACCCATGCACACCTGTCTTAGTTTCTCCATCACTTGGAGACATTCTTAGAGAAGGATCAAGTCTTCTGAAACTTCTTAAATCCACCTACAATCCCTCAAATCCACCACTTGTCTTCTGAACTATACTTCCTTCTCAGCCCACTCAACATGCCTTCACCCAACACCTAAATCAACCTTCCTCCTCCCTGCTCATAAAACGTACCTGTCTTCCCTTTTCCTCCTCTGTGATTCCTACAAGATTTCTCTTTGTTCTTTCCATGAATGTTTTCAAATCCTTCGTTTATTATGCCCCTACTGCCGAACCACTGAAGGAGTTTCTATTAAGCAGTCCTTCCTGAGAGACAGAAATAAACCACTCCAGCTACCTTCTTAGCATACACTCCACTGGTCAAAGTACCAACAAGTGCTCTGTTAAGTACTCTCTACTCTGCGTTCTGTAATAGATAGTTGCCCCATCAACAGGGACTCATCATGCTAACTCCGTGTCATCAAGCATGATTAATAAATTTTACATTCTTGTATCTCCCAAATCATCACAGTGGGAAAGTTAAGACAAATATTTAGAGTGATGTCTTGGTTCCTAATGAAATGAATGGGAATTTTGCATTACAGTAAATAGAAACTTAAGACTGATTTTCAGTGGCAAAATAAGGTATCTCCCGTGCTGACTTTCCAAACTGACATTGAACTGCTTTTTGCCTTTGGAAACTGTCCAGGTAAATGACAAAGGTATTCGAACTTCTAGCCTATGACATATTACCTTTTCAGAAGTTAAATAAAATGCAGATGTTAGGAGCAACAACTGCTCACTTCTCTCTTAATTTTACTCGTGTAGGATATCCCTGAAAATACACAGTCACTTTGGAGATTCAGAGATTATTAGATTCAATTTCTAATTGTTATATACCAGGGCTGTTAAGGCAAACGTTATAGGAAGTTACAGAAATCTTGTTTCTATTTACCTTGTATCCTTGGTTAATACCATTGATGAACTGTTGGGGTGGAGGATTCCAGAGGAACTGGATGGTTGTGGAGTTCACGGCTTCGACTTGCACATTCTGCGGTGGAGCTGTAGGCACTGCTCCCAGCCAGCAGAGAGGGAAACACAATAAAACAGAGCAGAGGAGGGATGAGGGGACAAAAGAGAAAGATGAACACAGAATGCATTGACTGCCACTCGCGAGTCACAAAGTTGTAACAACCCTGAGACAAGGATGCACTTCTTGTGAAACAGTAACCAGCAAGGATTTGGAAAGAAGGGTAATTGAGTTAATTTCTCATTCTGTATCGGAGAGTCTTTCGAGGGGAGGGGATGAAATTATTTCTGCCACTTATTATTCCACAGATGAGCTTCTCATAAAGACTTGAGACAGAAGCTAGGTAATGATAGGTGAACACATCTCTTTCAATTTTCCATGACTGCACAGAGAATGAACAGTTTCAGAAAGAAGAAAGAAATTCCTTGAGTCTTTTAATATCACACAATTCCCCAGATCAGACAAACAAACATGGAGTCCACACAATTAAAGTTCTACTTGTGAATTATAATCTGGCAACAGCATCTGTTTATTATTTACTGCTGCCTAAAGAATTAGGACTGGTCATATAACGTGCAATAAAGATTTTTCTTGGGAATTGAAGATGTTCTCGTTTTATCTTAATATGATATTCAGTCATGTATATTGAATTGATTATATATATTCTGAGCCAATACATCCTCTAATCTACTAAAAGTTGCATAAACATTTTATGCCAAGTATTTAATTAGACAGATGTTTTCTCAATACAGAAGAAAGTATAGAACATAAAGGCATACTGCCTTCAAATAACAAAAAATAACACCTAAATATTTTGCCATTTAATATAATGTCTCTTTAAATACCTTCCAGGAAATTTCTTCAACTTATTGCTTTAAGATGTCATTTCTATAGATCTCAGAGGAAAGAATAGTAATAGACAGGTCTATTTTTCTGAAATTACCAAGCTTACAGTAAGTTTAAGAAGAAAACTGCTATTCGAATATATATAAAAAAAGGACTAATATCCTTTGAATCCTATAAAATAAGTTTAATAAAGCTTAAAAAACATTACTATTGACAGCCATGTGCATTTGTATTCTATGAAAGAGGAACTATCCACAACTGGTTTTGAAGCCTGGAAAGCTTTATTCCTTCTGCTTCCAAGAGAAAATTTCTACCAAAGTCCAATGACCTATGCTTCTAAAAAGTACCCACAAGTCCCACTGAGAAATGGTAGTTTGTTCCACACTTTTCAAAAACAGGTCACAAACTTTTAAAGCTTCAAAGTACTTTTGGAAGATGAATCTTTGTATGGAGAAGAAATCAAGTCATGAAGTTCAAAAATGTAAAAATGCCCCTTTTTCCACCAAAAGCTATGTTTGAAAGAGATGTAAAGAGGTATTATACTTAACTGGTACACAAGCTATAGTAAGACTGCAGCCAACAGAGCTAGGACACTGTACACTTATCAAAGACATCCACAGCCTAGAAATATCAACACAGAAAAATGGAGAAATCCTCAAAGATATCAAGTTTGAAATGACAAGAACATCCACTTTCATGCCCTGTGTCACTAAAATTCCCCAATGACTACATCATGGCTTGAAAATTTAGCTCTGCATGTTTTTTCAACCTCAGAAACTGCTATTATTCAAAATTTTCTTGCCCTAATGTAAAACTTGATGTCACAATTTATGAACTATGCATAATTATTGAGTTCTAAAACCAGAATTTATCTGATACTACTCTAAATTTTCATTAGAATCTGGGCCCTACTTTCTGCCATGTATCATAATTCCCTATATGCTTTTGGAAGGTTATAATATTATCTTAATGACCTGCAGACATCATAAAGTTTTTGTAGTTAAGAGAATCACCAAATCATCCTGATATGCAGTAATAAATATTAAAGTCACTCTACAGTCATAATGAGCTGCTTTGGCTACAGTTCCCTACTAAATGTTTTTTTTTCCCTACTCATGTTCTTTGATGAAACTGTTTATTATGAGAGCCACAAGATGTATTTCAATTTGCTTTTGTGCGTAATACTTTGTATAATTAATGGTTAATGTGAATAAGGATTTTTTAAAAATCAAAATTCTTCCTTTCCTGCATATTTGCATATTCAGATACTGTAACTGCCAGAGATTTGTTATTGCAGAAGAAAATTGTATTAGAAGACTTCAAGTTATTTTGTTATCAGGAAGTCACCTGGATATCACTGATAGATTAATCTCCTTCTGGCAGGAAGGCTAAATCAGCTGAGCATCATCCTCTCCACTCATTCCTCTTCCTTCTGTTGAACGTCTACATTACAACTCTATTTATATGTCCTAGGTTGATTTTGTAACACAATTATTGTACTGAAAAATCTATACATAACCCATGTCCTGCCCACTGACAACCACATCTGAAGAAATGCAGAACTTTGGCAGTGGTAGGAAGAGTCTGTTTTTCCCAGAGCATAAGAAACACATACAGGTCACCTGAGAGTTAACAGTACAACCGCTCCCAGCAGGACATTCCCACTGCCTTTGTCTTTTTCCTGAAACACAGATTAGCATGCACATTGCTGCTTCATTTCTGTGGGTATCATTTTCTTTACTGGAGGATCCCATGGATGCTGTACAATCATGGATGTTGTACAATGAATAGCAAATTTCCAGTGATTTCAATATCATAAGTATTATTCTAAAGGTCTGATGAGTCTTTTAGAGACAATTCAAAATAATGCAAATTTTTTAAGAGAGAAAAAAACTTGCATCAGCAAGCTCCAAGTTTTTATTTGCAGTCCTTACAGTCCTCAAAAAAGCTCAGGCTAGCACTTGAGGATAGTTTACTACAGTTTTAGAAATGTGGATAACCAAATGCATTAGTTATTTATTTTTAAAACCAAAATACTTTTCTTGCATTAGGAAATAATTTCCCGAAACAAGAATAAACCATCATAGCACAAAAAGTACTTGCTACAAGAAGAAAGATAGTAAAAATTATGAACAGAAAACATAAAACTTTCAGAATGTTGGAAATTATGATTTATATTACGATTCTTCTTTGGACATCTTTGTCGAAAAATCAACATCTGCATCTCAGTGAACGCATTTAGAAGATGGAAAGAACGTGGTCCATCTGATATGCATAAGCTTAATTGTACTGCAGAAGATATAATATAGTATCTTTTAATATTTTAATCAGTAAAATATTGGCATTATAATCTCAAATTTACTTCAAAGTGCCAGTATAAAGTTCTCCTTTTATGTCCTGATATTAAAGACTTCCTTGAGTATCTGAACAGTTTTGCATTTAAAAAAGAAAAGGACTTCGACAGAAGCTAAATCAGAATTGACCTCCTGGTCACTTCAAAACTCAAATCCTTTCCCAAGATCATGGTCAGTAACTTACTGAAACCGTGACTGTCCACATAAAGAATTTTCTAATTTAGTGGTAGATATCTATCCTCTTCCTACAAGTTTCTTGTTGACAAGCGGTACAGAAGCTACCAATGACAAATAGGTGTTTCAAGAGTAATCCTCAAGTATCTACATTCTCAGTTTTTAAACCTGTACTTCACCACGTTTGCAAGTATTCCTAAACCATCTCACAGTGGAGACCCATCTGGGAGTCATCTCGGAATTGCAGATCAAATTGGTCAGACAAAACCAACTGTTACTTTCTTCCCGATAAAGTTCACATGGTCGGAAATCTGTTAAGAGCTCAGCCCCTGGGAATGCAAGTTAATGCACAGCATTTTAAGTAGAAAAGGTCATGGAAGCACTCTAGATAAAAGCCATTAAAAGGGTTTCGCTGACGAGATAATTGAGAGAAGAGAAGGAATTAAGGTTAAGCGTGTGTACATGTAATCATTCTGTCTCTAGCTATGTGCAAATAGCATGTAAACCCCACAGAGATTCTGACAGCCAGACTACTGGTCTTAAATATAGATCTTCAACAGAGGCTTGTAAAAAAGTCTCCTACTCCTCCAGAGCGCCTGACCTTTGATGCGGCAGCTTCCATGTCTCAATAAGGCAGTTTCGGGGAACTGTGAATCTATGTGAAGATTTGGTTGTTCCTTTAACGCACTGGTTTGAGGTGCTAAGCTGCACATCCCTGGTGGGAGCGGTGGGGAGAGTCTGCAGTGGAGGCAGGTAATTCCTCCTGGAGGGCTGTTCCCCTGCTGATGTCCTTTGCTGTGCTATGAACTGCAGCAAGCGCATAGAAGAAGTGGTCTCTGCAATTCCACACATGCAAATAGTTGAAATGGAGTAGTGTGAGATTTGGCACTAACTGATGAGTTTTGCTTCTTGCAGCTGGGAAAGGCCTTCTTCCTTTCTTGCATGCCTCTCACAAGGACAAGGTTTTACTACTTTAGTAAGAGCTAGGGGCCAGGGTCCTCACTGAGACAACTGCTGATTCCACAACCTTTGAGAAATCATTTTAAAAAAAAAAAATAAAAAAAATGCAGTAGATGACAAATGGCACCTAACAGTGATAAAAGTGAGATACAAAATGCAGTCACTACAACTCCAGTCTGCTTCTGCACAGGAGCAGCTGGGCTCAAAATGGCCATGGAGCTCCAAGGCTGTTGGTAGGCTCCCCAAAGGAAGTGAATGAGGATCTTTAAGATGTTTTTGCCAAGAAAGCCTAAGGGAAAACTAAGGGAAATCACTTTTCACTGAGATAAAATTGAATGGTTGCGGAGGACACTCCTTATTCAGAGATTCCTTTTTCAAGATTACTTCCTACAGAAAGTAGGAAGTTTTCAGTTAACCAGGTTTTCGCTAGCTCTTCTTTCTCATAAATTTCTCTGGCTCACCTCCTACTGCCTGAGGAAGAAACTGCTTTGGACCTGGCTTAACAGACTCATCTTGCTTTTATCCTTCTCCCCACACCATCAAGACTCACTGATCTGGTGACTCTCCCACTCTTTTATTCAGGAATGGCCTTTTGCTCAGACTTTCCTGGCCTTTCAAGGTGTCCATGCACAGCACAGAAGGGAAAATAAAACAATATTGAACGACATATTGAGACCTATGAACTTTAGGACATAAGATCAGCTTTTGGGATACGCATCAAAAGAAAGACATAGCACTTAAAGTAGAAACAAAAGTGGGTTAATGTCAATGCAAAGAGCCTAATGAAAGCCATGTGTCTACTTATAAACATTGCCTTGCCTAAATCTAAGGAGAGGTGGGAGTTTTTCAAACAGAGAGAAGTTCAGAAGTACCCATGCTAGTGAGATAAAGGGGACAGACCCAAAGGATGGAAGCTTCTGCCTTCTCAACTCAACCAGCAGGAAAAGGTAAACACGTCCAATAGTACAGAGCAGAAACAACATTGTCGCCATCCAGAAAGATGTTTATACATGTCACAAAGCTATTCTTTATATGAAAAGGTATTGGGAAACTTCAGGTTTTCATATGGCAACGAAAAGTTCTGCAGAACACGGTTTAAATAAGCAAAAATTGCCCTATGTAGAAGGCTGGCATAAATCCCTGTGAAAAGTGACATCAAAGTAAGGAACAGCTGGAGAAACTCTCATGAAGAAAGACCTATATATACAGAGCATCAAAAGATTAGGCTGAATATCACTCTGAAAAGACTTTCAAGATTTAGAGACAGTCAAACTGTCTGACCCTAGTGCTAGGATGTTCAGTGCTTTGCCAGTAAGTCTTTCTGACATTTTATCTAACTGACATTATGTGCCAGTTTCTCTACAAGTTGAGATCTTTCGGCATCTGGTGAATTTGGCTACATTCTACAAGTTGGTGATTTTCAAAGAGCTTTGAGTAGCTGATTAGTTATCAGTGGCTAGAGCCATGCCAGAGGACTAATAAGGGATTAATAGACTAGGTTCTGGTATAAATCCACAGCTTATACGTCCAGTCAATATTCCCTATGACAAAGACGCCAACGTGCTCATCCGCTCCTGCCAATGGGTTGATCTGCTCCCAGTGTTCATTTCCTCCCAGGCTTTGACTGCACACTTGATTAATATGAGGTGTTTCAGGTATTTTTCATCTGCAGACAGACAGGTTCTTGCCAGCATAGCTCACATCATTTAATGCATGTCAGAATAGAGGCGGTGGTGGTGGTAGTAGGAGAGGGGGATGGATGGAAGTGTGTGTCTTTGACATTTATCTCTGCTCATATTAAAATCAGAATATGATTTACAAGGCAGTTTTACACATGGTTTTTTCTTACTCCTGCTGGTTTGGTTTAGGAAGGACATTCCAGAGCAAGGAACAACCACCAGCTTTTCCTGTCATTTCCCAACTACAACAAAGATAAAGGAGTAGTGTTTCGGACAGTAGCACATTACAAATGGAGATTTCATACTAATCCAGTTTCAAATGATACTGATACCAACCAGCCTCTATTTTCAACTCTCAATGTAAAAAGTCTTCAAACTCTTTTTAGAATAGACCGTATGCCTTCAGTAATTTGCACAGAAACCCAGCAAGGCATTCGTTAGGAGACAGCAGCATCTGTGAAGTAGTTATTTACTACTATTATTAAATACTGATATAAAACAAATAAGAAATATCCAGTTTTTCTTTTATGTCTACCCATCATTGAGCATTTAGGAACTACATAAAGACAAACAGGCCATTGCAGGTCATCCTGCAGTCTAAACACTCTTGCTGATTAATATGAATGCAGGACTGACTGCACTTAATTTACAACAGAGGATTTATATCCTTATAAATGACAACAGACAGTCAATCAATAAAGGATGATAATAACAGTACATAATATCATGGGAAATTAGAGTCAATTGCAGGGTTTAAGAAAAAGAGTGTAAAGTCCAAATGTGAGTCTTAATAGATGGAAGGTTAAGGTGCTTTGATAGCTTAAAATGTGCAAATAAACAAAGTAATGAATTACAAGCATACTCACAAAAGAGATTCAAATTCTGTGTGCAAACCAATTCTCAGCAGAGATCTGGTCTTTAGTGGGATACAAAACATTAATCCTGGCTGCGAGGAGAAGACTTTAAGAAAAACATTTCAAGGTCTGCTATAAATACTTCTAGAAAGAGGCTGAGTGTGTCTAGACTCCTCTAAACTGTGAGACTTTACATGGCCTAAGAAAAAATATAGGTAGCTTCCTTCTTTAATTGTTGTGGTTAATTAGCGTTGCATATGAATAATCTTTTCTTAAAGATCTCCCTACATCTCAAATTGTATCTAATCATGTTCTAATGTACTCCTAGTAACAATTAACAAACAACTACATATTCTTCACTGATTGTAAATTAACTGATGTACTCTAAATCTGCAAGTTTTTAAAATAGTTTAATTGTTTTATGACAATTAAAGTAGAGACTATGTACTGTCCAGTGCTCAGAATCCAGCACAACTCTGCAATTATAGGAATATATGAAAGCTTTAAGGGCCTGGTACTTAATTATCCTATGGATTTTTATACCAATCTCGAGGTGTAAACATGCCTTACACTGGTTGTAAAAAGTAATTACATATCCTTTTGTTGATGTAATTTATACTCTTCTTAAAGCATTTACCAGAAAGATGTGGAGGAGCTGTAGCATAAAAATCAGGGCTTTAAAGATAAAATTATCTTCCTCTTTGCAAATGTCTGCACCATTCCTGAAATGCTACAAATTTTTCCATGGGCTGTATTTCTTTCCCTGCAGTTTCCTTACAATTTATTCCATATTTCTAAAACAAGGTGTTCTGTGATTATCAGAACTAATGCAGCTGATTTACTCAGCTTTTGTCTCCTGTCTTGCATATGCGGCATATTGCATATCTTTACCACAATAAACCCACTTCCCTGCCATATTCGCGCTGACTTTCCTGGCAGAGTAACCTCAGCCCCTGCCTGTCACACGTCCTATAAATCCATTCCACAGGACCCCAGCTCTCTTCAGCATTTCTGTTTATTACTTACGTTGCGGCCAACTCTGACCTGCAAGTGCGGTAACATGTCATCACGAGGGTCAACAAAAACAGATAATTTTTTTAATTCACTCAAAGCTTTTTCTACAACAGAGATAGCAGCAGAGTCTCATCTTGTCTGTACTCGGGCATTTGAAATTTGTAGGTGTTTCCTACCCCAAGTTGTCTATCAGTTTTGACTGAAATGACCATTCATTTTACAAGTTGTTAGGTGGGACTACCAGTGAGTGCACCTCCTCCTTAGGAAACTGTGCTATAAACTGTAACTATAAAGGATATATTGGTCCAATTTGCTCACCTCCCTGTAAAGTGTACTCGGTCACAGGTCTGCTGAACGCTCCCAGCCCAGCTCCATTGTAAGATGCCACCTGGATTTCATACTGGGTCCAAATGATCAGGTCCTTCACTAAGCAGTAGTTAATTTCTGCACTGGTGATGTTCTTATACTGGTATTCTCCAGGGAGGCCGGCCAGGCGATACCTACCATATGGGAAGAAAAATTTGCTAGTTAATTAGATGGTATCAATTATAGCAAATATCCTGACTAGCAAAATAGCTTCCTTTGTGAAGAGACAATATGCAAACTTTTACAGCAGAATTATACAAAGAATAATGAAAAATAACCAGAAAGAACAGACTAACTCCTGATAAGACCGTATCATGTTTGACTGCTATAATATTTATAATCTGATCTCACCAAGATTACATGCTCAGGGCTAAACAAAACGGGTATTTTATCCTGTTTTACGGTTGCAGAAAAATTACAGCTTTTTAAGTGTGGCTTGTCTAGTAAAAGCTGTGATTTAGTAGAAAAAATAGCCCAGATGTGATTTTTATCAGGGTGCTGCTGTAAATTAGCTTGAGAAATGTTTTTTTCCTTCTCCTCTGAAATCTGAAAAGGAAGAGCTCGGAGGGCTCTGACCTTCTAGACTCTCAGGCGTTACCATCTCTGGCTTCCCCCAGGATTCACTTAACAGAATTATTAAAATAAGGATGGCATATAGTTAAGACTGAAGGGTTGGTTAAGCATTGGAATTCCAGAAGGGCTGTGCCAAATACAGATGAGTGGTAAACATCCTGACAAACTTTCTGCTGAGACATGGGAAGCTGAAACACTGAATATATTTTCCCATATAAAAACTATATTGCAGAAAACAGAGCCCCTTTGATATGTCTCTTTATGCCAAGAACTATGGAGAACAACTAAATTATAGAAAACAAACAAACCTTGCAAATCTGTGAATGCGAATAATACTGTTTGTTTTCCTTCCTTTAGGAAAATGGTACAATAGATGATTACAATATACTAATTCACAAAAAAATCAGAAAAACAGAGGCCAAGTAAGGGGCACAGGGCATTATTATTCCATGAAAAAGACAAATGTGGAAACATTTGTATTTTTATTCACCACACAGCTTTTATGCACTCTTATTCATCTTTTGCTTTGCAGTAATCACCAAAAGCTTATTGACACAGAACAATTTCATTGACATCTTACAGTCTGATTTTAAATTCATCTAAGTTAAATTGGTGCAATTTCTACAATTAGACACTTTCATGTATTTCAGCCATAGATTTTGTTCTAAAGTCTTCTTATAAAAAGATCAGTTCTTAATCACCGACAATCCCTCTGTTTTCTGCTGAGGAGTTTCTTGCCTGACCATATTTTGGCATACTTCATACTTACAATGCTACACTGGCGTGATTCCATTTATGAAACACAAATGGAAATAAAGAAACATCAGCCCTCAGTTGAGTTTATTGAATGTTTTGATCTTTTTTTCTACTTTATGCAGTATCTACCTCTGTCTTTCTTTTGTCTCCTGTGAAGGGTGTATGCTTCCTGGCAAAGTCAATTCTTTGTGCCGCAATGTTTTGTCTTACACCTAGCAGACAAGGTGCAGAGGGCTCCTGTGATTTAATCTATTACGCCGTTAGCATGGCAGTCCTCTAAATACAATACTGCCAGTGAGAAAAAGGGCAGAGGAAAGAGGCCAGTTCAGAAATGTCATGTCTTCATGATTTTTCTCACCATGGACTTTGATGTATACTCCATATGACTTGTGCAGTGCACCTTCACTTTTAAAGATCAGGTGTTCCATCAATTTAGTACCTTGCATGTCTTGAGCATTGGGTCTCTGGGATGCATGGTGGTTTTCATTTTGTTATATCTTAATTCTACAGAAATCAGTGCAGGAAGACTTTTCTTCAGCGCACATTGCTGTGACCACACAATCTGAAGCGGAAGAACAGCCTGGGACAGTTGTGCTTTTATACGATAATCTTAAATTCCTGTCAAATAAATGGTTTCTCTGCTCTGTAGTCAAGACAAAGCATGTAGGCATCAAAAAGGTTCACGGATTGAGCATAATGAATATGATCACTCTCTATTAAAACGGAAAGAGATGTTACAGCGAGGACAGGGATCAATTATGCTGATAGATGTTGTAGAAAATACTTAAGTTAAATGTTATTGAAAATGCTATACAGAGAAAACAGAACAGATTGCCAGAAGTAGGAGTCTATGGGATTGCTTTCTCAAAGGACTTAATGCTGAGACTGGGTAAGACTCATTGGGAATAGCTAAGGAATTAATCCTATCATCGAGTAGGCCAGTTTGAAGGAAAGAACTGTACAAGCAACACTTGTACCCCGTGCAAACAGGTACCCAAGTCTCATGGCAAGATTCTAGCTATAGGCAGAAGTTAAAGCACCTTTTCCCACCTGTCACTGATGACTGGCACATCTTTCAAACTGAGTCTTAAAACTGCAGGCGCTTGCACAAGTGTCTCACCACCGTAATAGGCTCTGTGCAGGTGAGAGGGAGATTAACAGACTTCAGCTCTGCCTGCAGAGAGAAGGAACTTTCCAGAACTATTCTGGGAGCTCACCAACAATCTTAACATCGCAAAAGCATTTCCATCCATGCCAGCAAAAGTAGGAGCACAGCATGAACAGGATGTTGGCATTTAAACTGTAGCCTTTAGTTATCTTTTAGCAGGTCTGGAGGACACTGTATTAAAAATGTCAGCAGCCTGCCTACAATAGGCTGTAACCATCATTTAGAAATATGTCAGCGGTGGTGCAATGCTTGGGAGTTTCCCACAAAAACTCTAATTTAGATAATGCCTCCCTTACTAAAGGTGTGGCCCTAGCTGGCTGCTAGCACAGCAGGACGTGCAGGATGCCAAATGAGCAAGTAAACTGTAGTTGAATTGGGTAGGAGTGAATAACTGAGTCCCAAAGAATTACAAATGGGAAATGCTCTGCAAAGTCTCAGTGTAGCAACACCCTTTCCAACACAACAAATCCTGTGTAAGCAGAAAGACTGGATGTATTCAGGATCCCCAGCTACCTGTCTCAATCTGTTTCTCATTAATAAATACAGATGGGGCTGAAAGAATCTTACTCGACCGATTTTCAAAACCAAATCAAGGTCTGCCATGAAGCATCTGACCTGTCATTCCCTCACTCCATTCTGTTTGGCAGAAAACTGAAGTTTATTGATTCTATTCTTGCTCTTCCATAGTGCAGGAGCCCTGTTGTGTCTTTGATAAATTTAATTAACCTTTCTAGCAGGAAGCTGAAATTGTAATAAGCAAATACGCATCTGCAATGCATAGGCTGCACTGTACCAACTTCCCATGTGAACACTTTTAGTACTTGGTGCTTCGCTTCACTTTGAAAATGGAAAAAAGCTATCTGGATGTTGAGAGGCTCCGTAGGGAGCCAGTCCACTTAGGCAGTCCATTCGGAGTCGCTAACAGTGACCCCAGCTCCCCGACTCCCTAGTATAGGCAGGCTAGAATTTAAGTGCCTGCACCCTTATGGCCACTTGAACAGAGGCATTTTCTCATCTCATAAACCAGGGCAGCCACAGCATTTGTAAATAATAACTAATACAGTCGATGGAATTAGAAATAGGTTTTAATACACTCTTAAGTCACATCATTCTGAATTCTCACATGCACACACTGATCTATCTCCAGACTTTCCAGGTTAGGAGATTACTTACCTTAGGATGTACCCATGAAGAACTCCGTTATGTTCACTCTCGGGAGGAGGTTGCCACTGGACCATGATGGACTGATTGGTGCGCCCACTGGCCACTATATTTTTAGGTGGGGCACTGGGGGGCTCCTCAGGTAGCATCAACCTAAGTACAAAAGTATGTGATAGAGGTGGGTGTTGAAATAAATGATAGACAACAATCCTATTTGATGTATCCGCTCCATGTGAACCAGTTTCTTTTATCAAAGTCTGATGACTAGAAAGAAATATAACGCTGATCAAACTGCTGAAGACATGCATGAAATAGTTACAACAAATCAACATAATAGGAAATCAGTTAAGCAAGCAACAAGACAGACAGCTGAGGTAACCTTATTCTCTCTGAATCACCCAGGCTGCTACAACTCTTTCAAAAGATTACAAGCCTGAATGAGTTAGAGCTCAGGTCCAGTGTCTGTGACTCCTTCCAAATTGTTTCTTTCAGCTCTTTCAATATTTTTCATATCAAACTCCTACATTTTGAAAAAGCCATTTAGAGTTCAGCTGTTCTGCAATTCAAGCTCACAGCAAGCTTTGGTTCACAGAGGAAGGGGGATGCATTTGAAACTAAATTTGATGAAGCCATCCTTCTATGTCACATCTGGGTGAATTCCAGAAGTGACATTGCAATGATTGGGTGAATGCTATATTCCTTCCTGGGCTAACTGCTGTGACTTAGCATAAGAGCAAAAAAATATTTCCAAGATTCTGCTCAACTGATACTCTGGAAATATGAGGGCACCTCTCCCATCATGTGCTGATACCCTGCATCGCCTAATTGCCGTTATCACCAATTACTGACAGCTGCAGAGCACTCTCCAGAGGCCTGAGTAACACTAACTGCTCCATTCCCCAATTATTGTGCAAAAGATAACTTTATTTTTATTCATCCACAAACAATCAGCAGTTTTTTCCTGCCAATAATTCTAGGTTATTGTACCTTTAGTACATAGATATTTATTTATTTTTACTGTACCTGCTGGTCTCAGAGCTGTACTGGCCCTTTCCCACCTGGTTAACTGCACACACCCTGAACTGGTAGGTTCGAGCTGGAGTTAGTCCGCTTACTGTGACTCCGGTCATCTTTGGGTCAAGATTTGATAGGTGAACCTTCCAGGGAGAATCTGTTGGAATAATTTACATGTGAAGAAAAGATGGAAGTGCTGTTAAAAGCCCTGCAGAAGTGAGAAAACGCCTCTGACTGCTCAGAGCTCTTTGTGCTTGTTTTCCTCAGAGGAACGTTGGGAAGAAGTTTCTTTTCAGCAGAAGAAACCTTCCTGTCAGCCCACACGGTTATGCAGATTGCACATTTGTCTACTGGAAAGTGATGCTGCACATGTCATGGCATAATAAATAAAAACTATATTCATTAACATTTTAATAAAAGAGGAAACAAGCATGATAAAGACAGATGGGCTGTGTATTTCACAACCCATCTGTTTGGCAGGCCATTACACCACCACACCCATGAGTGGCTCTGGTGGAAGGACTGTAATGAGATTCACAGTCAGTTTGGAATATCCTCCTACCCTGCCTGCAAGCAGGTGTAGAACCGTGACTCTCTCTGCCAAATCAGCCCTTTGCTGTAAGACCTGAGAAAGCTTCTGCTGCGGATTCTACATGTCTGCAATTTTTTTCCTAGAGATAGTATATGGCATTCGGTCTAATCGTTTCCTAGGAAGATTCCCTGGTATAAACAGCCCCGGGAGCACTAGAAAAACCTTGCTGTCAGTTCACATACTTGACCTACCGACCTCCTCTGATGCCCAAATTACATTTTCAAGTTTTCACAGAGGTCAGAAATGAAACATGTTGAAAATTAAATATCCTGACTTTTTTTTCTTTGTAGCCTGGTGTCACATATTCTCCCTGAAGTCATGACTGAAATAGTCAGGGAGAGGTGACATTTGGTCTGTGTTGCAACAGTAGAGCAATGGAAGCAGCCAATTTAAAGATTTGTTCAGTTTTTAAATAATACCAGCTGTTTTCATGCTCCCTGCTCAAAATTACTAACACTTCTGGAAATTACTGAGGAGCTAGCTGTAGATTTTGGCAACATATCTGTGCATGTTGCTCATCAGAAGTGCACTGCAGCTCCTGGCAGGTCACCTAGACGTCTGCCTGAAAATGAAGATGAGATGTCCCAAATGTGGAAGGCTGCTAAACTTCACACCAAGATGTAAACCACTGATTTAGTGCTTTGTTGGCAGATTCCTTAGCAAGTTCAAGTCCTCTAGGGTATGATGCCTGTTGGGCTACAAACACCGCATTTTTGAATTGCTCAAAATATATTTATTCCAGTAATGGCTTTCCGAGAACAAAGACTTTTGTAACAGGAAAACTAACACAGTAGAATATTGGGAATGCTGGAGAGGGACATTTGCACAGCAGTCAAGTTCTATCCTTGCCAGTTGTTGATGATTTACCAACAGTCACTTCAGCTGCAAGATCTTGATGGCAATTCATCTTTGTTGAACACTGAACTTCTTTTAGAAAGACCTTAGAGGAAATACATCTACGCTATCTAGAAAAGCATTGATTAGGAGTCTTTTGCACCCTAGTTCCTTCCGAATTCTATCAAGTTTCTCTTGACACTTCCCAAACAACTACTCACCCTGTAACAGCCAGGGTACACGACAGCAAATCAAGGTAAGTCAAAGTTAAGGTAAGGCTGACTTAGTACATTGCCTGAAGCAGCTTCCTGAGGAAAATGGAAGAGCAGACACCAACAAGAGAGTGAGATACCCTTGTGTGAGCTACTTGGGTAGTGGTCCATTTCCTAGAGCATTTAATTTGTTTACTGCTAGTGTAAACACCACCTGAGAGTGCTTAACCCAAGCAGCTCAATGTAGTGAGCAGTTTGATTCAACAACAGGGCCTATTAATCTCTTCAGCACCTTGGGGCTTTGCTCTGTTTATATGCTGCATCTGTAGAATACTTTATTAATTCTTTTTCCTCTCCTGGTGGAAGATAAAAGATCTGGCAGGAAGAGAGATTAAACTGAAAACTAATATAAACGAAGCCTATTCATCTCCTGGGCACTCCGATTCATAAAGAAAGGTGGTTTGGGGAGGATTTGCTCACTCAAGGAGCAGTGGATACAGTGAGTGTGCAGAGTATCTTTAAAATTTAAATGTCAAGTCTTTCTTTTGACAATCAATAAGCTAAATGCCTCAAAAAGCTGTTCTCCCTCTTTAAATACACAACAAACCCCAGAATTGTACAGAAGCTTGTTTTACCATACAGAAGAGCAATTCTGACATCGGAAACATGCCATAAAATTTTCAACACCGATTTCCTTCTCCTCCAGGGATGACTGTCACTCGCCTGTCCTGAAAGCCTGGAGAAGTTCCATGGTGAGAAAAGACTTGCCAGGTCAAACTATTAAATAAGCCTCTGTTAGATTGAACAGACTGTGCTAATCCTTCATTTAACTTAAGCTGCCCAGAATGTACTCTGGGCTTTGCTTGCTTGCTTTTCCACTGTAATTGCTACTGTCTGAAAAACTTTCATATTTAGCTGTCCATCGTCTTAAGGATATTGGGTATTTTGAATTAACTCCGATTGCCTCTCCAAGTTAATTTATTGGAAACAAAGAATCTAATAGGCAACTCTTTATTTACAATGTGATTTTGCAGGTTTTAGAAATTACATTCGTTCTGTCAAGAATTTTTGGATGCACTTGTGATACATATAACAACACTGGTTACTCACCAAGAGGCATTTCTTCTATATTTCCCTATCTACCTTACAATTCATGCATTAATTGCAAATTCCCTCAAAATCATTTCTAATTTGATATTACAGATTAGATCTATTGCAGAAAGCTGATATTTGCAGGTTTGGAGTACATTTCCATCCCCTTCCTTCTCGGGGGGGTTTTGCATAGATGGTAGTATTGGAATTTGCTGTACTGCTGGAGTTTACTGAATTCATTTTTCAAATCTCCATGACAATATGATATTGCAAAAAGTTCAAATAAAAATTAAATGGTTCATCCTTTTGGTAGGACTTCAACAAGGTCTGCCAGTGGCCTAAGAAGAAGTATCTTTTAACACTGTCATGTATAGATCCAAGTCACGGTTGCAACGAACAACATATTTTTACTTTCATTTTTGCAAAGATTTATCAACTTGTTCAATTTTTACCATTTGAATATTCCTACCAAATTCAGGATGAATATTCATAGGCTTTAGGTTAAGCATGTATAGATGCTTTTCATAGGAGCTTTTATTATCTCCTCATTGGCACAATGTGATGAATCTGAGTTATATCATTACATCACACAGCACAGATATCCCAGAATACAATAAAACAAAAATGGGCTTTTATCTTAATTGTACTCAGCAGAATTCTTTAGGTGTTAATGCTTTTCTTCGGTGAAAAGACCATTCAGAATATTTTTTGATTAATCCCTGAAATCTAAACCTCTTTGGAATAAAATAAGCATATCCCCTTCTAACTCCATGAAGATACTTTAGTGGAATTCCTAGGTATATTGCAACAGGATCTAAACAGGTCATGAAACATCCAAAAATTATATTAGTGCAAATGACAGCAATGCATGGTACTATTTATTTGAAAATTCTATTTCAAATTAAGGTTCACACTCCTGGCTCTGTGTGGGCAGGAATACTTAATGACTGTGTTTCCCTGGAACTGTGTTTTTCAAATTAGATTATAAATTTGCCCCCAAATGTTTCAGGCCATATGTCTCAAGTTACCCACAGACACGGTCTACTGTGAACACTTGTAATTTGAGAATTATTGCATTGTGCCAAATACATTCATTTTAAAAATTAGGTGACTAGAGTTGTTCATATGTCCAGCAATTTATGTGCACTATCTGCTGCTGTTTTTTCCTCTAATTAAAATAAGGTTTTTATATCTCTTTACTGAATTGATATTAATGAAAAGGAGTTCTAATCCATGCCAGGTGGAGTGACACACCTCTCTCTAATGCAGCTAGTAATTAGTCCCCTGAAATTTACGCTTATTATTTTGAACCCTCTTCAGCTATTTCTCTGAAACAGATACTGTTATTATGCATTTATTTATGGTATGTGCTTCAAAACGTACAATGGATCCTAAAGCTATCAGAAAATTATTCAAAGCAAAACAGCTAAAAAAAAAAAAGAACAAAACTAGGCTACATTTTGGCACCTGTAACTGCAAAGCAAAACCCATGTATTAAAACCCCACAGAACTAAGAAGAAAGTCTCCCGTGCAGCTTTGCTAACTGGAAAATAAATCGTAATTCTGATGTCCCTCCCTAACCTTTGCAGGTATGAAAGCAAACGGGGATTGGGATGTTAAGCATATTGCACTGCTGCTGACAGTGAAAGAGCTACAGACGCAAGCAGATGAGCTTAGGAAGGGCATACGCTGACTCCTTGACAGCTGCTCTTTCTGCGGCACAAACAGCACCGACAGAAAATCTAAAAGGAAATTTTCTTTGAAAAGCAAAGACAGATTCTGCACAGTTGTATCAGACACAACTATACCTACACAAGATCAAATGTCAGCTTCATTCACAAACATCACTTGGGACAGGTGGGAACAAAGGAAAGGTGGTGTTTTCCAAAGGAGTAGGAGGTCTGTAAAAACTAAATATTAACCAGACACTACTGAGATCAAAATAACTCTGAAAAACAAACACTTCAAGAAAATGAAAACCAAAACAAGACAGTGACAATATACAGACATTAAAGTCAGCTTTCCAAACGAAAGTCACTGTTGACATTGTGGTACTATTCTGTTGGCATCCATAAAGCTGAGCAATGTTATATGAAATGAGAGAACACAGCAACAGTGGAATATTCAAGGGTTTAGATTCCTCTCTGTCCTATTTCTATGAGTAACCATTTAAACATTGTACATAAAAGCAAAATAAATAAAGGTGCAAACTGAAAGGACAGCAAGATCTAGAATATTTCTGGGAGTTAAGATGCTCAATTCACAACAAACTCAGTCTGCGTTTGCTTTTTGCAGCTGCAAGCTTGCTGAAGTACATACACCTATGATTTGTGATAATGAGACTCTCTCAGTGGTAGACTGCAATGCCATCAGCCAAAATTATTGGATCTATCACGGAGTGAGCAAGGGTTCACAGGATCCTGTGGAGTTCTGAGGGACTGTCTGCATGATTTCTGGAGAACTATTGTTGATTTTTGCTGAGCCTTCTACAAATTTCAGTCAATGGATTATAGCATTTTCAAAATGATGGCACATTCACCCCATTCCTATAGCAGAACAACTGCAAAGCATCCTTGCTAGAAAGGCACTTGAAGACCTTTCAAACTTCTCCTGGCACAGAGTGAGCTGCCTCTTCTTTCGGTGGCTCTTCCCAGTGCCGATGTTCTGCCAGCTCTGTGCTCTCTCTGTGTAAATACAGCTCTAGTACCCTTGCATCGTGTTCCCAGGCTGGGACTTTATTAGCTCGTCATTGTGAAAACCACTGGGAAACATGAAACACAAGGGTTAAGGTAAGGAAAAGCATAAAGGCAGTTACTGGCCTGTAGTTGATAGGAGGGGAAGGAGAGAAGAGGGAAAATAAAAAAGGTGGTGGTGATAAAAAGGTAGAGCGGGGGGGTGAGTGCAGAACACCGAATTTTCTCAGTCATTTGTTACAAAAAGATCAGGAGTCTTTGCTCAAAAAAATCTGTTTTAAGGACAGCAGTCCTGGGCATGAGTTGGGATTTCTGCTAGATTAGAAAAGTGCACTTTGCTTAACAGATGTCAAGATCACCAGTTCTGGGACCTCCACATCTGAAAAGTTACGCACTCCAGCCTGCAAAGCAAAAAGGCTCTATGTGATCTGAAGCTCAAGTTTCATCTCAAGCTCTCTGTGTGGCAAAACAAAGCGCTACTCTCTAGATAATCAGAAATCAGGACTGTTTCACATTCAGTTATGCAGTGGCTAATTTCCACATGTCAGAAAAAGTGATGCTCTTAATTTTTTCATCAAGAATCGATTGTTAGGCTTGGATTTCCAGCTCCTAGGGTGATAGAGATTAGAGAGCATTGCCAAGGTGACTGATTTCCATATAACCTCATCTTTCCATCAACTCCTAAAGAGGCATTAGCAATGTCCCTGAATAACCTTGCAAACTGAGAGCCACAAAGTACCAGACATACAGCATGACAAAACTGTGAGAAGTGGCAATTCACAACGACCAGCTTTCTAACCCACAAAGCTAGATACTTGGATATCTTACAGTTAAGCATCCTCAACCACCTACCTAAAAGAAGGGTGTAAAATGATAACCTAGGGAAAGCGGAAAAATAGGAGAATCCATAGACAGATAGGATAGTAGCTCCTATTGACATCCAAGTTTGTTCCTCTGACAGACCATCAGTTCCTGATATTACCATCCTGCCTGCATTTTTCAGGTGAAATTGGGGCTCTGAATGCATCAAGATATCTATGAAACCACAGCAAAAGACAACAATGAGAAGAAATAAAATATGACTATTGCTACATTGCGGATGTTGAATAGAAGCACTGAGGAATGAGCTGTTGTGCCTCAAGTCTGGTTAGCAATGCTGGAGGTGGAACTAAAGCTTTCCTGTATAACAATTCCACCATCTCAGGCCTCTTTTTGCTGTTTAACTCTTTCAGCGTGCAAATAGTTGCGAGTAAAACCCAGGGCTTCCCCTTCATGCGCACTGTCTCTCATTTAGCAAACAACAGAAACGTTTTGTTAGCAGCTCTGGTAAAAGGTGAGTCTGAAAGAAAGCTGAATAATTAAGACAGACGTGAGGTTGAAACGTATTTGACTTTACTCACTGTTCTCAGAGAGCTCGACCATGTAGTAGAGAACAGGGCTGTTTCCATCAAAGGGGCGCACCCAGGAGAGCATCACGCTGCGGCTGTATGAGGAATTTAGAGTGGCCAGAAGATTCTGAGGGGAATGAGGCAGCTCGCTGTTAAGAAAAAGAGAAAGGGAGAAAAAATAGCAGAGAAAAATCAATCTACACTTCATTCAGCTGCGGTCTTACAGGCAGTTAAAGGCACACGACATCAGACTCGTATGATGATAGATACAAAACTACCAGCAGCCATTGTACAATTAAAATAAATGAAAGACATCTCTGAATTCTTCACAATTTTATCCTATTTGGGGAAAAAAAAATGCTTAAAGTCCTAAGGCTGATGCTTAGGACAGCTAATGGAAATGTTGCTAAATGTGGATAAAAGATAATTTTCATACTGTTTTTGATGGAGACAAGTTGGTCATTAAATTTCCCCTCTCACTTTTTTCCCCTTCTTACGATGATGCCCTAGCAATGTGATAGCAGTAATATGTATAAACAGTAAAACACATGGGAGATATGATTTAACATGGAATTTTTCATACTCAAGGAAGCAGAAGACATTGATGCTATCCATATAGAGCTACTAATCAAAATTACCATATGCATTCTTAGGCTACAGAACAGCTTGATTTACTCGCGGATTCAGGCTTATCCTGTCATGGGTAGAATCTTTCCTTCCTATAATAAGGATTTTTTTGGAAGCACCCAACCAGAAAATGTAGTGAAAATGCCTGCAGAAACCCCATGGAAATACAAAATGAAACATTATAAAAAAACACAAAAATAAAACAGCAGCTCAATTAAAATGTGTAATTTCTCCACATAAAGGCAATTTGTGGAAAAACATTTCATTTGTACTCATTGGCTGAAAGTCAGAGGCTGCGTGGTGCAGTGAGAAAACTAAATTCTGCTGCATCCTTGAAATGCTGATCTGTACTAAGTGCTAAGAGCCCTTCAGCCATTACACTTGAGCCTGATTTCTGCTCCTTATCATCCTCATTCCTAAGGAGGACAAGGATCTCAGAGTGAAGGAAAAGTAAGGAGGGCCCATTTTCACCCATTCAAGCTACTGATCCTCCTCAGGAGAGCTGAGGGTAACCCTTCCTCAGCAAAGCACCACTGCTAATCTGCTCTGGCCAGAGCAGAAAGCCACAAGCGTACTTCACATGCTTAATTTAAAAACGTAGTGATTTTTAGTTGTAATGTATCAAGCTACTGAAGGCTTATGGTTATTTAAAAACCACAACTCCTTAGCCATTCACAAAAGGAAATACAGACTCTGGCTTTAAGCGAGGACAACAAATATGTCCTGGATTTGGGTTTCTATTGGAAGATTGAGGAACATATGGAGAGGTAGACAATAGTTTTATTATTTTTCTGTTAAAACTGTGAATGCTTTTGTTTAATTGTTTATGATGGCTACACACTGTGGAGTTAGCACCAAAGAAAAAAAAAAAAAACACCAAAAAACCCCACGTTGCTGGAAAAGCCAAAGAGTGGTAAGAAAAACATGCAGATAATGAGACAACACAAGTGGCAGACACTTACCTGCCCACCTCTTTCTAGGCTAGAAGGGGTGATGCTTCCTAAGGCTAAACCTGAGACTCGAAGTCATGTCTCATCTCATTTGACTTTAAACACCTAACCAAATTAGCAGCATGGTGACCCCAGGCTCTTTCTGTAGTAAACATGGAATGGCACCTCAGGGTGTGATTCAGATCTTAACTTCATTAAATCACTTGCTCAGGATGCCTTCATTATGAGGAGTTTAGGCTGACTATGTTTACCATTCCTGGACGTGTTCAAAAAACATTTAGATGTGGTGCTTCGAGACATGGTTTAGTGGGTTTAGTGGGCATGGTGGCATCAGGTACACGGTTGGACTTGATGATCTTTGAGGTCTCTTCCAACCATAATGATTCTATGTTCTCACTTAGACCTGGGCATGCACCAACCAGGCTCCAGACTTCTGGTGCAGACAGCTAAGACATGGTCACTTTTGGGTCAGAAGAAACATCAGGCACAGGAAAGAGCATGTACAGGCCCAATGGAAGCAGATTTTGAATACAGCACTGCAAAATTTCGGATAATCAAGTTTAGGGAAGTAGGAAACAAAGTAGGATGGCAGTTGGCCTGCAAGACAAAATGGCAGAATAAGCCTGTCATTTGGAAAGTGTGGAGGGGGGCGTTAAGATACGGCCATTTACCCAGGGACTACAGGAGCGTGCTACTTAATTTTGAATGAAACATTAGATTATAATAAACATTCAACCTCCATGACAATTTATCATTATGTCCTAAGCAAGCTGGTTGGAAAAGTGTTTTTGTGATTAAGCTGGCAAAGGAAATTATGGACGGAGAGTGAAACGTCTTGTTGTGACACAGCTCACAGAAGTCCCAGTCCCCACTTCGTTTATCACCAAGCCCCGTGAGGAAGAGCTCCAAGATGGGCTGTGGCTTCAGCTTCTTCCAGATGACGATGGTCACACAGGGTCACACAAAGTCAGAGGGATGGCCGAGGGGCAGCTTACAGCAAACTTATCCCCATGTAACTCCTTTTCTGGGAACTAAATAAACACTCCTGCTAACTATTAGGGATATTCTCAGGGCATGCATTTACTAATCTTGTTTCCCCGTGCATTTAGAAGGGCTGAACTAACAGCCCATTTGAGGACAGAGGCTGCATGACTAAGACAGACTTAACAGCTCAGTCTCTTTTTCTTAGCGTACAAGTCTCAGGAGACTTTTGGAGGAGAGGGGCCATTCCCTTTTTCATGTTTTTTGAAGCACAATCCGAGTTTAAACGTGGTGGGTTTTTGCTTAGGATATGGGTTTAGTTGATTATTCTCTTAGATTGACACAAAACGGTAATCAGTCAGCGGCGTGAAGGAAACAGGCACTTTCTGTTCAGACAGAGACGGAGCAGCATGAGCTGTAGGAGCCATACAGTACACCTATCTCCACTAATATCATATTCTTTAGCCATATGTGTCCACACCAAACAGCAACAGATGGTGCTGACAGATTTAAATCCCTCAAGATAGACATAACAAGTGCCTAAGAAACACACCTGGACAGAAATAAATATTTAAAACTACAAAGACATTTCAGCACAGAAGTGTACTTCCCTCTTTGTAGTATACAAAAGCAGAGATTAATAAATAGTAATACCCACTTTAGCAGCACTTACACTTTGTCTCCTTCTCATTTGCTACCACATATTGTGTGGAAGGGATGATAAATGAGACCTATACCACCGTAATGAATATTCACATTCCGAAAAGAGATAATTGTTTATTTTTTTTCTTTAAGAGAATTATTTTCCTTGCTGCTAACATCCAAGAAATCATTGCAGGGACTGGTAATTTCAACCCTTCTTCAGGATGAGAAGGACCTCGGACTAGAACTGCTCAATTTCTGATACACCAAGCAAGTGGATGAGGTTTAGGACAATAACACACAGGGCAGAGTACAGCCCCTTGATCGGACACTGGAAGTTTAATTCCAGCATTATTGTCTTTCTTTTGTCTACTGAAGCCCCAAACAGGAAATATATGACAGTTTTTCAATACAGGATATATTAAGACCTCACTCCTCTAATGCTGAAGAGTTGCATGGAGGCAAGTTTTCCGTAACTTACTTTGTATGATAGCAAAATACATATATGGACACTTTTAAAGCTGTAATTGATAGATAAGCCCAGGGTTAATGGCATAGCCACCAAGGTGACCTGAGGGGACTCTGTCCAAGCAATTAAAATAGGGGATTTGCAAGAAAAGAACATGAAGTCATTGTGACAATCTAGGAGGGAAATATTAGCTGGTTGCAGATGATACATGTTCAAAACAGAAACCCTAATGTTTTGAGTCAGCTCATCACTGCCAGAGGGCAGCTGAAAAATTCACTCAGCAAACACATAGAGTGTTTTATAAAATTAGTTAAAAGCAGACTATTTGCTGAGGGAAATAAACCAGACATGGTTTGGAGAGATTTCTGAGAAAAATGGTCCAACAGCAGGTAATTAGAGAGACTGTGACTGAAGAGGGGATTACTAAAAAAGGCAAGGAGATTAAACAAGTTTTCTTGTCAGTTTATAAAAAGCCCCACTCCTATTTCATAAATGATTGCCTAAATCAGGTCCACCACACAAGTTTTACTCAGGAGCAGGTGGTTCATCTGCTAGACCCGATAACATGGTAAGAAGTCGAGGCAGGAAGCCTAACAAAGCACTCAGCCCTGATGGCTTTGCTCACAAACGCTTATAATGTTTTAAATTAAGCAACGTGTCATCTGTTGCTCAGAACTTTCCAGTTTCTTCTGCAAAAGAATCATCTCCAATGTCTAAACACAGGGAGGATTCTTGCAAGGCATCCGTGAGTTCTGAGGCTTTTTGTCTCTCATAGGCTTATAACAAGGTGGACTTCTGAAATTAAAAGCTCGCCAGATCCCAGAGCGTGCAGATTTATTTCCCATTTCATTTTGGTGGTCACCACAAGCTCAAATCTACTTCGGAAAGGCTTTTGAATTTTATGCTTTCTTTTTGCTAAAGACATCGACATTTCTGATATACCTTCAACGATGAACAGACACAATTGCATTTCCAAGTGTATTTCTGGGTAGTATTCTCTTTTGAGTATCAAGTGCATTTACACTCAGCAGTGAACCTTATTTCTTGGATGACATCTCAATAGAGAGCTTGGAAAAATAAATAGAAGCTTTCTTTCTAGTGAGGAAGGAATAATATATTTTCAAGTTTGACATCCTTCCTGTTTTCACTCCCGGCAGAAAGCAAAAAGAGATGGGCTATTGCAACTGAGGGATATGGGATCTATACGAAGATAAGTTTGTAATGAGACATCATTTTAATTTGTTAGACATTGTTTTAATTTGTTACTCTGCACTGGTCTTACTGATTTTATTTTTAGCAATCAAGCAATTTTTTCACGGGATATATTGGAAAGAGATTGGAAGAAGTAGCAATTACAAATACTCCAGTAAAAAGGGTATCAAAATTCATGTGTAAATGATTGACAAAGGTAATACCGTGCATTCTTGGCAACCCACTGGGTTTTATTATAAGTGGTTAGCTCCCCTTTCCTGCTTGTGAAGAAGACAGAACAATAATAGTTCTTTCTCTGGTGAAAGAGAACTGAAAGAAGATGAACTTGCCACCAGGAATAAATTGTCTATTTTTGTATTACATTGTCCTCCCCATATTTTTGCATAGAGAAAGAGCCTAAAAGATTTTACTGTATGTTGTGACATAACAGAGGCTTGTACAGGGCTTTGATTTTCCAACAATGCAGCATTACCATACTTTTCAGTCACATTCATACAACAAAGAGATCCTTTAGTATGGACTGCAGACAGGCTGACATTGAGCAGCAGGTATTATCAGGCATAGGTAGTGGTAATTCTGCATATTTTATACATACTGAGAACCCTCAGGATACTCTGAGCTGAAATCAGCGCAGTTTCCCATCAGGTGAGTGATACATTGTGATAACCCAGCTCATGCAGCTTTAGGAACAAGCGTTTTTTTCCTCTATACGTATTTCAGTATGGTATTTGCAGGACTATAAAAGTAAGCTAAATGAAGCTGGGATGTTTTGTAACATACAATTATTTTCAGGAACAAATCCTATGACTTGGAGGAATGCAAGAGAAGCACAAGCTCATCCTCAAAAGACCTGCAAATGTTTCTTTATTTGCAGTCAAGAAGCTCTGCTAGGAGGAAAAAAAAAAAAAGTAAGCAAAAAATTAAAATCTATCTCCTGCAGAAGAGAAACATCACTTGAAAATGTTTTACCTCGTGCAAATCAAATCGAGTGATGTACATGAAGAATAAACACATTTAGAGGGAAGACAAATGAATGAATAGAGTATCTTGACTAGCAATTAGTTTCTGCGCCCAAGTACCATCAGTGCAAAATTGATGAGCAAGGTAACCTTTGGCTGCACTTTAGCAAGTTCTTCATTAGTTTTCTGGCTTTCCTTTTCAACTATTTTATTTCTTCATAGACACACTGAGAAAAATGATCCATACTGCTTGCACCCCCAATGTATACCATGCTGTGCTGTCAGCATACGTTCTTCTAGCAAGAAACAGTACCTTCTTCCCCAAGTGTGTCTTCCAACATGGAAGACAAAGGAGGAAAAAGTTTTCTTTCCTTCTTTTCACAGATTAGAAAACCAGAGCACTCAGAGATTAAATAACTGAAGGTCATCCTGAAGGTCCATGGTTTTGAATGGAATCAGTTTGAATAGAAATCAGTAACAAACTTATTTGTGCCTTTGGAAATTTCTCTTGCCATGCCTAGAGGTAGAGGAGGGACATGCTGGTTCCTGGGGGAAAAAACGTGCTGAGACAATTGGAGTTGTCAGATAAAGCTACGTAGGCTACAATATTATCAGTTGGTAGACTGCTCCAGTCTCTAATTGGTTGAGAGGCCTCCTTTGAACATTTGTCTGACATTAGTGCTACTCAAGGCACTGAAGTGTAAGTGCTCATCGATGGGAATGTACATGCCCTGTTTGTTAATGTTCTGCACAAGAGAATTATCTGGGAGGACAGGGAATGTTATAGATCTGTCATTCATATACAAGCTAGAATTTAATTTAAGCTTTACTTCAGACATTTCCTTTCCACATATTTTCTTCTTCATTTCACTTCTGTTGTATCACGTATCTTTATTTCTTGTGGATTTGTGCCGCTGAGCCAAACGATAATGATGAAAGCTGCAAAGGAACGCAATGTTTTTTGGCATTATTGCACTACCTGCAGCACTACTTTGAAATAAAATGTCACCATTCAAGGTATGATTGAGTGACTTATCAGTTACTTAAGTCCTCTAAAAGAGTGGGTCTGATATATTTCTTTAATTCCTCCAGGAAAAACAGGTGATAGGAGATCAGCAACAAATCATCAGAGGAAGTGGAGACAGAGGATTAAGAGCCAGTCCCAGTGGACGGAGAGCCAGGCAGTGCAATTCGAACAAGGCAGGGTGCAAGAAAGGCAGCCTCAGCAACGTACACAAGATGTGCCTCTCCCAGCTAACTTCTAGCCTGAATTTTATGGAGTATAAAACTGTTCCTCGCTGGTCAACTGGGAACTGCAAGTAAATACATCTGCTGTGCTGTACTGGGTTGCATAGGGCAACTTTTGCTATTTAGGATCAAGAAATGGTCAGTCTGCTGAAATGTTTAGCACATATTTACACCTTTGCTTCAAAGTCCAGATTTTAACATTCTTTTCAGTCTTTACTCCATAATTTTCTGCCCTCCATTCAAAAACGGCCTCAGAGAAAAGCAAGTGTGGTTATATAGTAGCAATATATTTTGAATTGTCTTCTGCTCTTGGATTCAAACCAGCTGTAAAATGCACTCCGGGAGGAGAGCTGAGGAGTGCTTAATTAGAGAAAGAATGTATGACCGCTCTCTGAAAATGGGCATCTGATCTAGCCTTGGCACTGTCAGAATAATGCTGTATCAAACAGCCCTCTGCATAGCAAATCTCGGAGGTGAACTCATTATGCTGCCAACAGCAGAAGTTGCCATCTTCTCAGAGAGATCAGGCATGACCAGCAGAAACAGATGCAATTTTAGTTAAATTAAAGCATGTGGCACTACTCAAATAAATAAAAATAAAAAAGTCTACATAAAACATTACCTTCTTATTCATTTGATCTGCTCCACACACGTACCAAAAGCACAGTTGTTGCTTTTAGTGATAAAAATAAAATGGAAGTGCACTTCACGCCAGTGGAATGACAGAAATGGAAAATATGGAACCCTGTAACAACATTTTTATAATCCTTTTCCAGAATTGAACTGTACTTCAAACATTTTCTTGTTTTTATTTTTAAAGATTCTTAGGAATAAAGGCAGGCATACATAAAAATATTTTTTCCCTGAAAAACTATGTATTAAGAGAATGCAAGAGTAAGCAATGCCTGTCCAGGGACCAGCTATTCTGATATATGTTTAACAGAGAAAAAATACTAAAAGGAGGAAAATATTTTCTTATAGCCTTGGCATCACAGCACAGCACCTGGGCTTTATGGGAAAGCCCTGCAGCGTGGGATGACAGAAGGATTCAGGTTGGAAGGGACCTCAGGAGGACTCTGGTCCGACCTCCTGCTCAGAGCAGGGTGAGCCATGAGATCAGACCAGTTTATTCAGTTGGGTCTTGAAAACTGGAGACAGCATTCCAGATGTAGACTTCTAAGTGTCAAATAAAAGGGGGTCGTCATGTCCATCAATCTACTATGCTTGTGTTAACACAGCCCAAGAGGCTGTTAGCCTTTTTTCGTTAGCAGGGCACACAGCTGGCTCATGTCCAGCTGCTGTCTACCAAGATCCACAGGTTCCTTCCAGCAGAACTGCAACCAGCCTGTCAGTGCCCAGACTGTATTACTGCAAAAGGTTATTCCTTCCCAGATGCAGACATTGCATTTGTCTCTGTTGAATTTCATAAGGTTCCTGTTGGCCCATTTCTTTGCCTAAGTCCCTCTGAGTGATGGCCCTACCCTCCAGTGTATCAACTGTCCCCCGTCCATTTTGTGCTACCTACAAACTTGATGAGCATGCACTCCAACACCTCCTCCAGATCACTGATAAAGAAGCTGGACAGGGCATGTCCCATTACAGTCCCCTGTTCACTTGTTACTGGCTTCAAGTGGACAACCACTTCTTAATCGTTATCCCTGAGCTCAATCACCCAACCAGATGGATACGTACACGTAGTGATTCAGAGAGATGCATTTACTTGGAAGTAACTTCCAAAGCTCCAGTTACTTGGAAGCCCAAGCAGCATGGCAGCATGCAAAACGGAGGACATTTCAAGGCAATTTAATTAGGAATGAACCAGGCTTAATTTCCCCTAAAAAAACCCACACCAAAAATAAAACTTACAGACTCCCATGATCATCTAGAATGAAATGCTAGCAAAATGCCCAAGAGTACCTGAAACCAAGCATAGTGTATCTTTAAGATGGAATACTTACATCACTTCTAGTCGAGCCTTTCTGGAGTCGTTTCCTCCAAAAGAAATGACCTCACAGGTGTAGTCACCAATGTCACCTGACCATGTCTGGCTGATGAGGAGGGTCCCATCTTTCTCTACCGTGATTCTGGAACTGCTGGATGGATTTATTACAACACTGTCCTTCTTCCAAAGATACCTGAGTATTACAATGTTTCAGTTATTAATTACTAATAAGAACATCAAAATAGATTTATTTGAACTGTGCTGTAAAGTATCAGCTTCTGTAATTGCACGTTAAAAATGACAGGCCCCTACACTTACTTTCAGGAGCAGTGCACTTTACAAATTCAAGTTTTAGATCCGTGATCGGAATAAGAAATGTAATTGCATCCAAGACACTATATATTTTATTAACAATACTATATATTTTACATAGAAAAGGTGAATATGCAAGTTCTTAAAGTCAGACTTCATTAACATTTTAGACCAGAACATCATATTCTGCAATTAACAGCTGAGATGTTGGCCTATCTCTGCTAAGGCTGTAATAATGTTAGACTGCCGTAATCAGTAACACCTTGAAACTGCTGTGGTGACGTTTACTAGAGTTCATCCATCAAAACACACAAATACCAACATGTCAGAGATGTGTATAGCCCATAGTCTTACAATTAAGTATCTCTACATGAAATTTTTACACCTGTATTTCTTTTTCCGAAGTTCTTTCTGCAGCTCACCCTTCTAGCACCCTCCAAGCTGTTCCTTGCATTTTCTTTCTTTTTTGTTGCTTTCAGACTACATGAATTTTCATGGTAAATTTATTTTAAAATGATGAGCTTCCTTCAAGTGCTGTAGTGCAAATTTTGACAGTTCAGACATATTCTGGTTTTCTTTACACAGTTAAAGGAGAATATAGCCCCTAGTTATTGAGTTGTTTCCAAGAACATGAGCATTTCTTGCGTGGCTTTCATGCACACCAATGTAAACACTTCTGAAATCCTATACCTTCTCTTTGGCTTTTACTCTCATTAAGTATCAGCTTCTGACAAGTTGGTTTTATTGATAGTGTATTAACCTTGACAGTAAAATCATGGAACGCTATATTGAAGTCATGAAGTGGAACATAGCTCATTGTAAATAATACATAAGGCTGAAATGGAAGATGGGATTTATATGATTAATGATACAGTGTACAATCTTATAAGGTAGTAATCAGGGGTCTGGTGTTAGAATCTGGGGTCCTGAAACTTTTCACCTGATGCTATTCACATAGCTTATAAAATTAAGCTCAGATAAACCACACAAACAAGAACTGACATCACCAACCTGATTGAAATTCTAGGATCATGAGTCGCTTCACATCGCAGAGTGGCTGTGGTTCCTTTGATCACAGTGCTATCCTCAGGAGGGTGAACAATGAAAGTGCGATCTGAAAGGAACGCAAGCCATAGTTCAGGTGAAATTACAGCATTTTGACTAGGATATTCACTCAGAGAGCAGGCAACTGAACATTTGTCATTCAAAGCAAGCAGGCCATTCCTCTTCAAGTCTTTGCTGTGAAGGCTCCCGTCCCTCTAATGTCATTGTGTCAAGAAGAGGTGGTACACCGTGGGGTTCAGAGGAGTAAAAGCAGCGGAGGGGGTGAGTCCGAGTTGGCAGTGATTTGTGTAGGAAGAGTGCTAAAGCTGTACTAACTCTCGCTTGTCTTGTGGTAAGCATCTACAGCAACTCCCTAAAGTCATAAGGCAGCAAGTATGTTTGTAATGTGTTATGAATGAATCCAAACATACATCAAGTCAGGAAACAAGTCACACTGTTTGGAGTAGGGAAAACAAAAAACAAGAAAATCTGTGCAAAGAAGAATATGCTAGAAAAATATCCAGAAAGAGGAAAACTTAAATGGCACCCTACAATCTCGTCAAATCCAGGAAAGCGATTAAAGGAGGAGGAGCTTCTGGTAGTCTGAATTTTCCATATAAGAAAGATATGCTGTTTACTCAAATGTTTCAGAACATCTTTATTCAAGCACCTCCTGGAGACCCTGAACACAATAATTGCTGTAACTACAGCAACCAGATCTGGTGTGAAAGATCTCTATTATGCTTAACACACAGTAGCAGCAGCAGATAGCATCCGCTGAAGCAGGTAGACAACTAGGATGAGTACAGAAGATACGTGGATAATGTTAATCAGTTCCAAATCCCTACAGAGATAATCAGCATCTACTGAGACATGCACAAGAAGAAATTATCAGCAAAATCAAAAGCTAACTCTAATAGCATGGAATTTTTAGCATTATTCCTGACATACCTATATATGCCTTCTAGCTTTATAATTGTGCTGCTGCTACACAAATATTAGGTTATAGTCACTTTTCTTTTCCCCCTCCAATGCAGTGCAATGAACAGGAACTGTCTTTAATACATGTAAGAACCGTGCCTTTGAGAATTAATAGGAAGGATTTTCTTTACTTGATCTATACACCTAGATATCTTTCAGTTTACAACATCCTGGTATGTATACCAACCCTATATCATCAATAAGATATAAATATGACGGCCATATGACACAAGTACATTATATTTACTGCCAGTATTGTTTTCAGGTATTCCCAGCTTCAAAAGAAAAAATGTTGCTGATTTAACTTGCACAGTTTGGGGATTAACAAATGCCAAGTATGCACCACACATCAGCAGCATAATCAGTACTTCAAGTACAGGAGAGGAGAGAGGGCCACAACACTTCTGTATTTATCATCATCTTCATCGGTTTTAATTATTTTTAGTCCCAGCTTAGGGATCATTATCTCCTACCTTTAGTAGCAAAAAACATGTTACACTTACATTTAACTCACTTAGGAGTAACACCGGTGAACCTGTTGGATCAGACTCTCTTCCCCAACAGAAATAAAAAAATAGAGATCAAGGGCAAACGGGGAAGGACAAAATCATTTCACAGGTTGCCCTGTGCCCTGCCAATCTGTAGCATGAGAGACTAGCTGAAGTCTGCACTATTTTGGTTTGACTTCCAACAGTGCCCAGAGCCACAAAAAAATACAAAGGTATGAGGAAAATCATACCCATTGTAACTGTGGCCACAGCCTTTGTAACAGCAGGGGCTGCTCTACACTGTCTGCAGACTCCTGAAGGCAGAAACCAACTGCAAATAGTCAAATCTACAAGTTAAAAGGTCTGATTTGCAATGTGAGATTCACCAAGGCAAAACCTGAGTAAAATTGTAATTATGATTGAAACTCTATTTCAATACACTTCCTTTCACAGAATATAAAAGTTTATATGCATAATTTTACAAACAAAAAGGGTATTTGTGATAAGTTTCCTAAAATAGCTACATCATTCCTATTAAATCATACAAGTATCTCTATTAACTAGAAAAGCATAATTACTCATGAAAATTTCCTGAGCATACAACAAAAACTGATTAATACTTGATTAAAGTTAGACTTTAAACAAAGCATTATCCTTACTCCACACTGTCAGCATCACAAAAGCATTCAGAGCTCCTTCAGAGTTGACTGCACAGCAAGTATAATTGCCAGCATCCTGAAGGAAAACGGGTGTTATCTGGAGCCCTCCAGATTCAAGAAGAATGAACCGAGGAATCTGAACTGAGCCACTGGCTAATATCTGGTTTCCTGAAACACAGAAGGGAAAATCAGCATGATTAGTGTCACGTAGACTGCACGGATTAAGCACTGCAATTCTAGTTCTTCCAAAAAGACTATTACAGCCTATCCAGGCCACTGGCTCACAACAGCCCCACAACAAACCCTCGGCTCGCAGAACCAGAGAAATGAAGAAATATGCACTCAATGGATCTACAGAATCGCAATAATAGGAATGGACAATAAAACGTGGATTACAGCATTTCCACAACAACTTAGTAACTGGTTACCTTTCTTCCATGAGATGGCAGGTTTTGGAGCCCCTGAAACTTCACAGGTTAGCATTGCGGTCATCCCCTCTGTAACGGTGGTATCCTCCGGAGGCTGTATAAATGCTGGTTTAATGTCTAGAATCAAAAATTTAAAAAACTCAATGCATCAGCTACCAGAAAGATCTTTTACCTATTATCATGGACTACTTTACATCCACTTTTATTGAGCTGATCATGGAGAAGGACATGACAATAATACATGAAAACTTTTCAGCGGTGACTGTAACCTTTCATTATTCATCTCCTAGGAATTGCCTAATTCAGTTTATTACCTACATGGAAAATAAAAATCTGTCAGTGCTTGTACACGTACAAGTAAGACGGTTACAGAAAAAGGAAGATAAAGCTCACAATGAGTGTTTGGGGGGAAGTTGAGAAATCTAGATAAACAAAACTATTTTCTTTCATCTTCATAACAGAGTTCTTTAAGATGAAAAGCAACTTGAGAAAGGCATTAACTTTGAAACTTAAATGTCAGCCAAAAGAATTTAGAACCTGAGTCTTATCCAAGACATTTTCCAAGTTTCTTTCTCTCTTATTTTCCCCCAGTTGCATTTTATTACATTTTTTTCTGCAGTTTTGTAGATATATATTGAACTGGGGCTGATCTATTTTCTGAGGCCAGTAGGAATTCCAGTCAGTATGTGTATTTTTCGCTCTTGGGCTAAAAATCTGCTTCCTGAAGAGGAGTTATAGTGTTACAGAAATGCCTGTTAATAATCGCTTTTAAAAGAGACTACTAGGATTTGTAATTCTTCCATAGAGAAGGGTGTACTTCATTAACAAAACCATTTAATCAGACTTTTTGGCCAAATAAAGACATTTAACTTGAACTTTCTTTCTTTCCCCTACTAAATGTAGCTGTAGACAAAAGGCAGATAAAATGATACCATGCACAATCATGAAGCGGTACCTCAAATTCAGAACAGAATTACATTAGAGTAGAACTAAATTATTTAAGTAGAAAGGAAAGATGAAAGTATTTCACAATTAATCTGTCTTTTTTCTTTTCACTAAGTTCGCCTTTTGTAGCATGAAATAGGAGAGTTCATCTCAAGCCCCTAATGTCATGGAAAGCGTTTCTACAAGCTTCAGCAGACTGTTTTCAGGCCGCAGAGGACATTTGGGCATACCTTACAGTTAGGGCAGCTACACTTGATGAAAAACAAGGTTCTGTGAGTCAAACTAAACAAGCACAGAACAGTGGAGAAATTTGATGGATGCAGGGTCACCTACAGAAATGACAAGACAACTCATCGATTTCTTATCACAACTCCTTACTCACTAGTCACATCCAGGTAGGTGTACGTCTGTATCTCCCCGGCTTTATTACTAGCAAAACACTGGAAGATTCCAGCGTCCTGAGGACGCAGCGCGTGGATCCGCAGCCCACCACTCAGCAGTACTTTGTAGCGGGGGTTTTCCAGCTTGCTGAGGGGAACAGAGTCTTTATACCAGATCAGGGTGGGAATCGGAACACCTATTAAAAAAAAAAAAGAATAATTTCACTATTAATCTTTGCAAAACATGGTTTAGGTAGTCAAAATACCCATAACTGTCGTGGTCATAGCCCTGGTTTCCCATCCTTCTACATCAATTATTTATATTTTTACAAGCTGCTTTTGATAAATGGAGGCTGCATCTTACATTATCAATGGTAATAATACACTGCAGAACACGTGGGAATAAAACCAGCAAACAGTGAAAGTGGGAATGTTGAAAAAACATGTTATCAAATTACTTTCTTCACCCAATCATATTTCATGCTACTACAAAATAAGATTTACAGCAATTTCATGTTGAAAGCTAGAATCGTGATACATAAACAGCAGCAGCCTGGCAATGCAGCCAGTCTATAAGACTGTTCCATCTCAAATAAGATTCCTCTGTGCTACTGTAGCTAAGATGTCAAAATAAAAAGGAAATGGCAAATTACACATAAAAAATGAAGTGTTCACACGACTGTATTCGAGTCCTAATTTGGCAGCTTAATTTGCGCTGATGTGCAAACAACATGTTGCCAACAATGGGATAGCTTTAAGTTATTATTGTTTTTATTCGTTCTCAAGCTTCACCTGTTATTTGAGAAATGCAGACATTAGGAGAAACAAAAATCCTACCCTAGATATAACTTACAGTCCCGTTTACTCCTGTTCTCTTTCATGTGCATGTTCTACAAACCCTGACATAGTTATTTCACACATATTTTTGCTGCAGTCCTATCTCAGTCAGCTGGGATGAAGTGGCTGTAAATTTAGTATATACAAATAGTGTAGGACTCTTTTTTGATTCGAGAGATGTCAGGGGCACAGTCATACACAGATGTTCCTGTCCCACTCCTCCTATCAGACAATGTTTCATCTTTACATCCAAGAAATCCCTAATTGATCAAATGCTGAAGGCTCTGTGCAGGGATCTGAAGTGAAGCAGATATTTTACTATGTGATTGGATAATCAGAGGACCACAAGGGTATCAAGCTGATTTAAATTATCTCAGCCCCAAACATGGCATTTTCATAATCTCAGAGCTTCACATGCCCTTGTAATAAGGTAAGGAACTATGGACTTAAATTCCCGGGTGAGTGAAATTTGCCCAGAGAAAAGCAGGGTATCACAGCAGCGTTAAGGACGGGTTGTCACTGATGAATTGAGCATCTGCAGACAATGAATTTCACTGCAATGTTGGCAATGACTTAAGGTTCTCAGAGCAAAAGTGCTATGGGAAGATCGATATTACCAACATTATTTATCAGGATTTTAAAAATCCTGAACTTAAATACTACTGTATTATACTTCCATTCATATCTCCTCTCTGTGTACTTATTCTCTTTATACAGACAAAAGTTATATTAACTCCTGGGAAGAATGTACAAACAATGTACGGAATGATTGAAAAACAACATTCAATTGCTGCTGTTACTTTTATAAACATGTACCATTTACTACAATCACCTCTGATGTTCTTGTTCTGCTGGTAAAATAAAATGCACTCATAATCTAGAAGGTAATCATCTCAGGAAGAAATCCACTATGTAGAGTTCATTGTCTGATAGAGAATAGACGTGGTGTAGTAGCTTGCAATAGGCATAATTTAAATTTCATACAACAGCCCATATACAGAATTAGCGTAAATTTCAATGTTCAGAATTCTCGGTGAGAGTGTTATTCATCTCTTGAAAATCCTCCTGGGCAAATACAAATTATCACTGAGTAATGAAGAAACAGATGATGCAAAATGGAATAGTTCTCCTGATGCTGAGAGGCCTGGAAATGATTTCAAGTTTAAATAATAGCAACTCCATTTTCCCACACATTAGACTTGATAGGCACCTAGGAAATAACGAAATCCTGCATTCAGTACACTCAAATCTTTAACATTGGTGTCATTCCATAAATCCCATTCTACTAACAGTATTAGCAAACCTTCTAATCCTATAATCGCTGTGAGATACATCTTCCTATCACTATCTCAGCTGACAAACTGAATATTACCATCTCTATTTTTCTACATTTCGGTTACGGATATCTTCCTCTACTCAAAGTTATGAGTCTGAATAATGGGATCTTATCTAAGCACTCTGATGCCTGTCAGCAGTATTCATTTGGGCTTTAGTGATCTTCCTAGAGAGATTTGTCTTCCAAGTTGTACACATCTTCTTTTATCATTTTGCTACCTCTTTGGCTATAAAAGTGGTTAAACCCAGCTTCCTTTCTTCTCCCCCTCTCCTACCCCACAGCCTTTCCTCTCCCCACACCCCCTAAGGAATTTTGCTTCTTTTCCTTTCTAAACTCTTCTGGTGAAAAAACTATGAACAGAAGAAAACACTTTAAAGACCTTTTGGACTATACCTTCCCAAGCAGTATCACTCCCACCTTACTGTTTGAGAGATTACAGAGCAGCCTAAAAGACTAGTAATAATAAATAAAACAAGCTTATTTCTCAGCATGTATGCAGCACCGTTCATTTTTCACAAATTAATCCAGTGTTACGGAGGAGAAGGGAAGATAGGAAACTGAGACGCTGGTTCTGGCTTTGCCACTGTCTCGGTAACCTTGGGCAAATAATTTATGCAATCTGAGGCTCAGTTTCCCCATCTGTGAAACAGATGCTTGACTCTCTGCCAAATTTAACTTACTTAAGAACCTGGATAAAAGACTCGAAATATTCACTGTGTCATTTTTGTTATTTAGTTTTTATAGCCTTCTCTAGATCCCAGTGGGCTACTGGGGAATCCCAAAAGCATCTTTCCATCTACTTGTCTAAACAGGTAGAACTAAAGTCCAATTAGCTGCACTCCCTAGACACCACCACCGCTGCCTGCAGCTCTAAACTTTCTATAAGCAAATAAGAAAAAGCATTTAAAGGAAACCCATTGAAAATGCAGGCAGCATCAGGGACTGCTGAAAGATATACAGCAGAGCATGGTTACTGCGCAGTCTGATACACTGAAACTCCATTACAGGGAAGTATAAAGCTAGTCCGTGCAAGTTGCAATTTTATTTACAGTTAATCTCTGCTTATACTGTGAAATTAATCTGTCTCTCACACATTCAAAGTGCACCAAGACTTGGCAAATGGGCTTTGTGTACAGAACTTGATGGGGCTGGGGGAAACACAATCTGTCTTCCTATTTGTAGCAAAGGTACAGGACAGCTTTGCGGTTCCCCTAGTGATTTATTCCATCTCCTAGCTCGGAGCAGGGAGACAGCAACCTTCATTTACCCTTTTTTTAAATGCTGGCAATTGCCAGATTTGTGTAATAATGGATCAAAACTCTTCTATGTTTAATACTAGTACCTGCCCTTCACAAGCCTGTTACAGATACTCAGCAAAATAATCCACGTGAAGACAGGTTTCCATGTTCCTGCACCACATTCATCAACAAATCAGATGTGCAGTAGAAGACTTCAGCAGAAATAAACAATTTTGTCTAGTAAGGGTTCCCCTATCTCCAACAAGACCTCATCTACTGAGAACAGTTATGAGTGCCCTATTAATCCTCTTGGGAGCTAAAGTGGTCAAAGGAAGAGTTATGGTAGAAGGAAGAATTAGAAGTCAACCTCTTGTCTCCCTGATTTCTCCAGGTTTTGGTTTTTCTTTTTTTGTAAAACATGAAAAACATCTGAGACAGCAGATAGTTTTTTCAGTGACGGTGAGATAGTCCAGAGGTTCATCAAATAGTTGTGGAGTACTGAAACATTTTTCAAAAAAATCTCAGAATGCTTTTTTAACTCTATTTGTCTAAAGATACAACAGTTTTAATTCTACTACTTGAAAAATCTTGTCCAATAAAAAAATGCTGATATGTTTGTCATAACACACCCCGAAACATAAAGTTGGTGGCACATGGCCAGAATAAATGTCTATCTAGTCACATTTCCTTCCTTTGAAATTGCCTTGTCTTGGATGCTCAGGCACAAAATGCAAGAGCAGCCCAAGGACAAAATGCTATTTCTACCTTCTCAGCTCCAGTAATCTATGCTTTAGCTATTTCCTGAGCCAGAGATTGCATACACACAGCTGTGTTTAATAGTCCTTACTGGATTTTTCTTCCATAAATTTTGTTTGTTTTTCTAAATAAATTTTATTTCTGATCTTAACTACTGCCTGGACCAATGACCTCCACAGCTTATGTTTTCTGAAAAAGTGCTATCTTTCCTTTATTGTACATCTCCTACCTGAAAATTTAGCTGGGTGCATTCTCTACTTCTTGCACTAAGCAATACAGAATTATCTCCCACTCACCTTCCCATATGGCACCCACCCTTCAGTCATCTCTTTCACAAAGAATTCCAGTCAATTTAATTTTTCATTATTCAAAAACCATGGTAGACCTCTAGTTACACCATTCCTACTTTTGTGTATCTTTTCTAGTTTTTCTACATCCCTCTCTCCAATAGAACGCTTAGAATTGTGTAAAGTACTTGAGATAGGGGTGCTGCCCCATGGACTGATACAGTGGCATTCTCTTATTTTTTCTCTATTCCTTTCTTCCCAGTGCCTAACATTTTGAACCACGGCTTGGCACGGAACTGATGTTTTCAGAAGACATACTTTTTCTGCATAGTAATAGGAAATTTCATCTCTGTCAATACTTTCATCTGCCAGTTTATTGTCCAGTCAGTTCAAATCATCAGAACCTTCTGCAACTCTTTTGTGGTCAGGTTTAAAGTTGACTATCTCGAATAATTTTATATATCAGATTTAATGTTGACTATCTTGAATAATTTTATATAATCAGCAAATATTATCAACTTACTATTCATCCTCTTTTCCAGGGCATTTATGAGTATGTTGAACAGCACAGGTTCCAGCAGAGACTCCTGAGGAACTCCATTGTCAGTAGGCCCTGCTAGGTTTTGTTTAAAAAGCTATTAATTAACAACAAGACCTTGTCTCTTATAACCTGAGAGCCTCATTTCTATAAGACCCTTGTGGTAAGAAACCCCATCAAATGTTTCTGAAATTCCAGGTCAAACAGAGCACCCTTACACACATGTGTCTTATTGCACTATTTGCAAAGCTTCCTTCTAGAAAAGCAGTGTTGACTCTTTCCTACATAAAGCATTAAAAAATTCTTAGAATTCAGAATTCTTAACTATACTTAAATGTCAGTTACCAGCATTTCTATTCAGTATAAAAGTTCCATAATTTTAAGAAAAAAGGACATTTGAATTGTTGAAAATATTGACTGCAGATTATGGGTTCCATAACCATACTTTCACCACAGTTAATTTTCTGGCTCAAGACACTAATATCTGTTATATAGTGACAACTACAAAGCAAAGGCAGGCTACCAGAGGAAAAGGAGCAGGAGTTGCCCTGCCCAACACACAAACATGAACGTGCTGGCATTGCTCATCTCTAAACCAAACTACAAGGACTGCCCAATTTTCCAAGGGCAAAAGCCATCCCTCTCCCTTGTACCTGGGATCTGTGATAAACAGCAATAACGCGGAGGCCTCAAAACATTAAAAATTTATATAAGCTGCTTTCTTTAGTACTGGACATACATATATCAATCATCCAAGTTGGAACACTTCTGCACACTCACCCATCGCTTGGCACAGGATGTCCACATCTTTCTCCACTTCAGCCAAAATCACGCTCTCGGGCTCGGCCGTAAAATATGGGGGCTCTTCAGAACGGAGAAAGCAAACAAAAGTAAACAAAGCAAGTCATACCAAAATGATAAATAGGTGTTGATTTTAAGATGTTCATCATATAATCTCTCCACACCCGTTGTACTTAATATAGTGTGTTACAAACAGATTAGTTTGTCTAAGTTTGGCTCTATATGGAGGCGCTTTTTTTGGTGGTAAAAGCATCATAAAAAAAGTCAACAATTTTTTGCTTTGCTGAGTATGAATTCCAAAGAGTCAAGTCAATGTAAGGTAAGATTTAGGGGTTTGCACTACAAATTAATACTCAGAGTAGGAGCTACTTTTCATTTTATAGGTGTGAATCATGGAACATTTTAATTCTTTGCTCAGAAAGGCCCTCCCGAGAGGTTTATAAAGGTTTATATTTACAACATAGCATTTTATAGGATAGTTTGCTTCAGTATCTAAACTAGATTCCACCTCGGGAAGGCATGAAGCATGTCAAATAAAGTGCCATAGCATGTCAGAGAGCTGACATCAGAGGACAAGTGCTGCATAATTTAAAAAAATTCTTCTCAACTGTTTTATTTCTTGAAAGCAAACAGATTTAACGCTTTAATTGAAGTTATAGTAATAATCATAAAAATCCACATTTTATCATTAGGACTAAAGAAAAGATATTAGACATTTAATTAAACAAAGACAAGATTCCAGAAATTGTAGAGTATGTTGTCATGTAACTCTTTCTTCTATGCAGCATAAAATTGAAGAGCACCATGTCAAAGTCCCACAGGCATTAAGGTTGAAGTAATTATCATGGTAACTAAAAACTGCCATAGTCTGTTCAATGCAATTATCATCTGAGCACTGTTTTTAAAAGCATTTTATTTGATTATAACTAGAGTTCTATCGTATCATAGACAAACTCACTGGTAAGTTGTAGAAACTACAGAAAAGACAATATCAGTAGCTTGTGAACAAGTTACTTGTGTTTTCTTTTTAAGGAAATCAAGCATGTTTGAAAAAACGTAGAAAGCTACACCAAGATCTAAAGTCATCTGAGCTGACCTCTCAAATCTTTTCACCAAACATGTCTGAAAACCAGACATGCGGTTTTCATTATTGATAGGACATTAGTATTTTCATAAACAAAACCAAAATCACAAATGTTATCCTACAAAATGTTACTTCTCCTGCTATCACCTGTAGCGTAGCAAGTACTGCTGTCATTTCACAGGGATGAGATGACATGCCAGCAGGTACACATCAGCAAGCACTGGCTTAGATCTCAAAACCCCCTTTCCCAGCACTCCTTCCCGCTAACTACAATAAAATACTTGCTTGAATGTACAGAACTGGGGTCTCATTTGAGCGCCAATGGATATTATGATTCTGTATTCATTCCAAATAAAGTCAATCAATATTACTCTTCAAAATCTTGTGCAGAGGAGGAGGTGAGGTTGCAAAATAGCCTGGAATACTCATTTACCCAGCAAAACCAATAAAACAAGCTGCCTGATTTATTATATTCTAATAATATACACGTGTTAACATTATTGATCCTCACTGCCTAAATATAAAGCTATTAATAAACACACGTAATAAGTTGTGATTTATTGCATATGATCTCATGCATTAATCTGAACAACAAACTGAAACGCTGAACATTTAATTGAAATTCACTGATGGCACTGTGTTTGACATGTTTGATCAACTAAGTTGCTGAGTGCTCTGCAATTCATCTAAGTCCATGTTTTAACTCCGAGTACACGCTTCTCATGTCATCCTCCAAGCCTTGTCTGGTGTTTTCCTTGCACTTCACTTTCCAGAATTTTATCTTTTTAATTTCCAAACTTTTAGCATAGTGTCCTCGCTTACCTACATATCTGTCTGTGAACATAGAGGTAAGTGTCCTTCCGTCCATCTCTCAAAATAAAATTTGAATCTTTTGTTCTACGGCAATTTCATTTGATTGTGAGGGGAGGAAAAGGGGAAAGGTAGCCAAAGCAGTGCAGGAGCAAGACAGGATCCAGACACATACCTCCATATCCAGACATTTGCTTCTAACTTTGAGCTGCTTATGGATGTCTCTTCAGTCAGTGAGGTTCTAATTTATTTTCCTCCTTTCAGGGAGTTCCTGGTTGCACATCTTCCGCCCTCCCTTTTATAATGCACTCTGACCTTAACGGGCCAATTTCTAAACTTGGCAACCTTCAGCTGCCAGCTCTCAAACTTTCTCCTAGGTCAGCAACATATTCACACACCAGTGATAAATTTGCAGATTTACCCTCAACATGGACCCACAGTCCAGCTGCAAAGCACTTAATGTGACCTCAAAGACACCAGCGGTTCCATGACCACTGCTTATGTACTACTGTTGCATACAGTTTCTGCAGTTATACTTGGCATATTTATAGAGTCTGCTTTCCCAGTGCCTCTCCCAAAATCCTATCCTACAATCTGTCCTCCTCCCTTTAAATCCCATACCGGCTGTTACGCCACCCTCAAAGAAACCGCTTAATGTAAGAGATGCTTAGGTGAGTAGGTATCAAGCAATGAATTACCTGACAAGGAACTTGAAGTCAGTGACAACTGTCACTTAGTAAATTGGACTGTGATGTTATAAAAGGAGCATTTACATCAGCTTTTTTTGAAAGAAGTAGGAAGAAACGGAAGCAGACAAGACAGAAAAAGAGCAGGAGCAGCAGAAAGATGCAATCTAATGGCCACAGGCAGCTCCCAGAGGACTTTCATGCTGTAGATGTGCCAACAGACATGATTTCCAGCCTTCAAGCCCAGACTCACCTTTTCCCTTACACTTTTTTACTCCATTCTCACAGCCATTCCAGCAACTGGAAGCCCTGCCAAATCCTACAATTGCCATAGAGGGGTCAAGAGGTGGAGGCAACAACTGCCCATTGAGGGGTCAGATCTTATTCTTGCATGATAAGCACAGATACAAAAAACCTTTCAAAAGCAACTCTACAATTTACTGATTGTTAACCATCTGCTTCTGCTGCCTGGAGTTAGAGATAAGCCTGAATGGGAAGACAAGACTAATTCATAAGGGAATTCCAGAAGATTTAGAATACCACATGGACAACAGTGCTGTGGCATCCAAAGTCTAACGTGATTTAAAGCATGAGAGAATCACAGCAGTATTGGTGTAGGTATACTCTTACGGCTTTGAGGGAAATGAAATGGTGATTTCCATGCTAGCATGCGCTAGCAACATGGATGCTTAAAAGGTCGTTTGCAGTGAGGGTCTATGGCTTCAACAGAATCCAGGCTGCAGAAGAAACGGCTCTAGTGACAGATGCTAGACAACTGAAATCCAGGCTCCCCACTTTTCAGATGAGTCAGATGTGTCACCTGCACATCAGGTGTGTGCCTGAGGGCCTGTAGGCCCAACATAAACAGCAACTGAAAAATTCAGGGTATCTCAACTAGGGTGCTATACTCCACCTGGTGAATAACACTCACAAAGAGGCAGTAAAAATGCAGCAATATTTATAGGGGTCAGATGGCATTCTGGTTGTCTATATATATGACTTTACTGCATGTTTATAAGACTTGGTTTGAATCACATAGTATGAATTTGAACATTTATTGTTGTAGGCAATAATCATGTGTTGAAATGTAATATGGGTGGTGAAATTACAATGTCTTCCAAACTATGTAACATGCCAGACACAAGCTCCCAGACACGGCAATTCCTAGGAATGACAGTAATCTGTTGATATCAGGTCAAAAATTTACTTTTTTTTTCAGATTATAGAATCACAATAGTTAGAATAGGAATGGACCCATTACACCAAGTTCACCTGCTGGCAGTGCAGCATGCTATATGATGAGAGAGGTCACATCTCATATTAGACTGAAAGAAACAGATACTGTATTGTTCTGATATTTTATTGGTGTTTGACTGATCTTAACTAAAAGGTCAAGAACATATAAAGGGGAAAAAGAATATTTGAATATAAATGCACGCTTTTAATACTTGTTGAGGGTTTCAGGGGTTTTTTTGCACTACAGACATCATTGAAAAGATAGCCTCTCTGCAAAGCCCTTGGGAGGCTGCAAAATTTTATACTGTTCTAACTTCCCCCACACAGAGTTACATGGTCACTGATTTTAACATTCAAAAGATATCAGTCAGCATCCATTACATACCCTTCAAGCTGCATTGGAGACGTGTGACCTGATCCTAGATACATACATAAAAGTCAGAAAGAACAGAGAAAGCCCCAGGGGCTCCTCCAAAGCTGAAATTTCTGCATTACTCAGAAATTCAGGCCCGCATATTTAAGAGGAAAATCAAGCCTTAAACATGGAAGCCTTTCTCCAGTACTACCATAAACTAATTTACTTGGTGAATATCCTGTAAAGAAGGGGGAACTGGAAACTCGAGAGCCCCTTATAGGTACGAAGTCCGTAACTCCAGACAGCAGATCAGACTGTCTATGCTGGGAGAGAAGTCACAATGTATATGCAGGCATAACAGGTTCCTTGAAGCAGGATTTTTCTTTGCATGAATATGAGGTTAAAACAGAAAGAGATGAAAAGGTACTCTTAGTTTCTTGCTACGACCCTACTGCGAGCTGCAGTCTGTGTATTCTGAAAGCTTTTATCAGCACAGGGAACACACCTCCTGTTCGTAGAACTGAAAGAAGGGGGAACTTCTCATGAATGTCAGAGGCAGAATTGGACTTTCCAGAATTGCCATTACTTCCCTGTGGTATCGATCCTGTGTGCATTTGGGCCCAAGATGGCATGTCTGCATCCATCTCAAGAAACTCTGAGGCTTGCCAAATCAAAAATTGTCCACATTTCCCTGCTTTGAGCCCAAACTGTAGTTTAGGCAAGTCCAAAGACATTTCATATTATAGTTCTCCTGAAAACTCTTGTTCTTTTCTTACACACAGTACACAAACACAGTCACCATGGAAAACTTTTTTCCTCTGCTTTCAAGACATCATTTGTAGTGTTTCAAAGTGTCTAAGCTAGAGCCACAAGAGCTATTGTTTCCAGAGATCTAAGCACAAGGTATCGAGGTGGCTAGCTACAGAGGAAAATAACTTCTGTTCGGGCAGTTTTGTATACACTCAATGCAAATTCATGAACAATGGCAATGCGCAAAGAAGGCCCTTCTGTATTTCCACGCTTGCTCCTGGAGAAGCACAATGAAGGAGGAATAGCCCTACAGTTCATCTCAGAGCCTAGCCAGGTGGGCCCTCCATATTAATATCAGAATTTTTCTGATGTGTTGCTGAATTCCATGATCCCACAAAGCTGTATCCACACCTGACGAGAACCAGGGCAGCCTTTAAGAGAGAAACAGACCTACCACACTCCCCTATTGTCCTATTTTCAGAAAGAAATCAGTCCAGCTGGGATGTAAAAATTCTCTCTAGGAAACACCAAGATGAGAATAATATGTGTTTTAATCTAGTTGTTCTGGGCACAAAACTGCTCCAATAAGAAGGTAAACCCTCTACTGTGATTCTGCTTTCTTCCATCCTATCCCTTTGGCCAGGTCAACAGGGCTTCAACACCTCATCATACCAGGCCATTCTTTCTAATCATTTTTCTCCTCAGTTTGTTCAGGTTTTACTTTCTGACTACATCTGACTTGAAGAGCAGTATAGATTTCATGTAGTGGAAGGGTTTCATTCCTCATTTTCTTAAGCTCCTAAAATTCGTAATTTCCCACAGAACAATCACTTAAAAAAATGACTATTGCAATTTGTTGCTAACGGAACTTGCAGAACTGGAGCAAAAGAATTTAAGATTCGCTCATTTTCAAATTGGTTTGTTCATGAGAAGACTCCTTAAATTACTTAATCTTCAAACTGTTAGTGATAAAACAAATGTGCTCTTATCTAATCTGCAACAAATCTTTCCCAAACTGTTACTCTGCCAACTGAGGAACATGCTACCCTTTAAAAATTTATAACAACTGCAGCTAATAAAACCAGGGTTTGGAACCACCTCAGTTTATCTTTGCTGGAACAATATGAAGATGTCAGAAAGCTCTTTGCCACATTCAGAAGAAAACTGCAGTGCAGCACAAGACTAGAGGATTTTCTTCTTGCTTATGCGGTACTACTTTATTACATTAGAGATTCAGATTTTTCAAATATTATTGTGATTTTAATTTACAAACTGACACGTACTCTCAGAAATATTCAGAAAAAAATTCAGACCTAATATTGTAGGTCACAAAATAATTTGAACTGAGTACATGCCTTTGTACTAAGTTTCATTGCCTTCTAATAAAGCTCTTGTCACCATCTGAGCCCACATTCAAGCTATGTGACTTCTCTTAGCTGGGAAAGGCAAGGACTGATATATTTGTAAAAAAAGCTTCAATCAACTCAGTATTTGTGATGTCTTCGATGCATCTTTTTATTGCTACCCCTATTCTATCTGTTAATAGCAAAATATTTTTTTCTGTTAATACACAAAAGCTCTCATTACTATACTATCAAGTGTCTATATTTGATTTATTCCAGCCATTTTGAAAACAAATTTCTTCTATTAACATAATTTCCATTTTCTGTTAGTCAAGACCCCTTATTAAGTCCACACTGTGTTACTCTCCCAAGAAGTACAGCTCATTATCAGGTCACTATCAACATGTGTGCACTACATATTTTACGCATGCAAATTGACAAGCATACTTGATTCTCTGTAAGTACTACTCCAACAGACTATGAGGGACACAGAGCAAAAATCCTTAGGTTTGAATCTTGTCTGCACTTTCCTCTAGAACCTCTCCCTTGATTAATTAAAAGATGGACAGATCCATCCAAGAATTCTAAGGCTGAATATAAGTTATGCATTAACTACTAATCCTTTGATTTGGCTTCCTGTTTAGAATTAGAGATCCATCCTGCAGCTCAAGAAACTCATAAATAAAGAAATCTATCAGGCTTTGCTGACACATTGAGTAAACACCTGCAAGTGAAGTGTCTTGTTCCATCAGAAGGAAATAAAAGTAATTGGTAACCAATTTGTTTCTGCTTTCTTTCATCTGCTTGTTCTTATCTACGGGCCTTTTCATAACTTCATTCCCTGACAGCCCCCTAAAACTAGAATAGAAATAATAAAACATTTACAAATAAGAGAGCAGATCAGCTACTAAAGAAAGGCAGCACTGCTAGTTTAATATGATTCCCCAATGATTGTTTCTCAGTTTTATTGTAACTGTATTTAAGAATCCTTTACATTAACTGAGAGGCTGCTTTAAGTATTGCATTAGACTGGATCTGACAGCATAGCAGCAAATTTAAACTAGTTACAATAAAATCTTATGAATAAGGAAGAGTTTAAACAAAAACCATAAATAAGTTAAATCTGCCTCTGTTCCTTAAAGGGAAGGGAAGCAGCGAGGTAATAATTCTGAAAGAGTAAAAAGAAGATGACTGGAACCAAACTTCATCCAGTAGCAAATAAATATAATAGAGACACAGTGCTACAAATGAACCTGGAACAGAGCTTTGTAGAGAGAAGAGCTGTTTTCTCATTTAGCATGAACTACTATAAACCGCTTTAGCGGAATACAGACCATGCAGCAGTCTTTAAAATTGTATTTTCGGAAGGCTAAAAGAGTGTAGAGAATTGCGTGCTGAGTTCCCTCTGCAATGCACTACAGAAATGCATGTGCATGAATTCTGATCAACACTGAGACTTGTATCATTGCCAGAGCAATAACCTCTCCAAGACACTTGCACAGTTATTATTGGGACTACTGCATAAAAGCTAGACTTTACACAACCAGCTCTGGCTTAAAACATCTAAATGTCTCTGTTCTAAAACGTCTCTTTTATTCTAAAAGTCCTAAAAAACTCTACACTGCGTGCAGTGTGCTAATTTGTGTTATTATGAGGATACCGCATGCAAAGTAACCACCATTTCGAAACGACAACTTCCTTGCTACAGCAACACAGAGGTGATGATGGAAACAGGCAGGTAAAGAGCACCAGTGTCCCTTTAAAAATACTAAGTCCAAAGTTTCCCTTGGAGTTGAAGGTCTAGCACATAGTGCCAATTTTTATGGTATTTCCTTCTCCCTTCTATTACCTCAGTAATGGTATCTGCCTGCCTATGTGCTCAGGAACGTCCTTGGCCCCCCGGCTGGCACTTTCAACAGACAACACACAGAAGTGCTCCTAAAAGGCTTCTTTCGGAAATACAGGCACTTGACATATTAAAACTAGATGTAAGCAAGCGGGGAGTTAATCGGGATTTAATGCATCTAAAAGCCAAGATGTGGAAGCTGCCCAGTAAGGATTTTACTACTGTACTTCCCCAACTTCTGATTAAATGTATAGTTTCACAGGGGATTCAGAATCACAACAGTGTTTTTTTTTAAAAAAAAAAAAAAAAAAAAAAAATCTATTTGATGAATTTATATTCATGGGGAAGAACAGCTGAATTAATTTGGAAGATAATCCTCCTTCACCTCCTTTGTTCTGTTCTCCGAAGAAAGGTTGAAATGTAAGGTCAATGGAATATTAAGATATCAATTTTATTTCCTATTATACCTCAGTCCAGAGCCTGTTTTACTAAAAAACACATTGCCTTGAGAATTACCCATCAGGGAAAGAAAGGCTTTCGCTCTTGCTGGTTCCTCTGTGCTGTCTCTCAATTTCGCTTCACAGAAGTACATTCCCACATCAGCAGAGGTTGGGTTGGTGATAGTCAGTCGTCTCCCAAAACTGGTAATGCCACTGGTTA